GAGAGGAGAGGAGAGGAGAGGAGAGGAGAGGAGAGGAGAGGAGAGGAGAGGAGAGGAGAGGAGAGGAGAGGAGAGGAGAGGAGAGGAGAGGAGAGGAGAGGAGAGGAGAGGAGAGGAGAGGAGAGGAGAGGAGAGGAGAGGAGAGGAGAGGAGAGGAGAGGAGAGGAGAGGAGAGGAGAGGAGAGGAGAGGAGAGGAGAGGAGAGGAGAGGAGAGGAGAATCATAGCCTTTCCCCTCCCAAGAATATTCTAGGTTAAAGTGTACCTGAAAATAAGGCAAGTAAACCACCTAGAGTCTAAGAGAGGGGAAATTTGTCTTGTGTCATGAAGTACAGAGGGCATTATGCCATTCTGGGCAGTCAGCATTTTGCATTTTCACATTTAATTAAGTAAAAAAAACCACAAATGAAAAGCCATAGAACAACTTTAAGCACATAAGCAAACATCAGTAAAAAGCAAACTACCTGTGAGTAAAACACGTCTGATCACAACACCACAACTGTAGAGGAACAGTGACAAACACGCACAAGGACACACCCATACAACACAAGGAACCCACAGGGTATTCACAGTAGGAATTCTTTACAAGATGCTTCTCTTGAAAGACATTACACTGAACAACACGGAAGAAATTTGCTGCTGATCACAGAGAACAGGCTACACAGAGCAAGCCATCTAGGAAGCAAGCTCACTACAATTACTGGAGAAGCAGCAGAAGTAAAATTTCAGTTTAGAGAAGGGGTTCACATAAAAGTTATGTGCCATATAGGAAGTAAACTTCTACCCATAGTAAGTAGCTTGTAATTTAAAACACATAACATTCCCACCCCAAATCAGTACAAACCCAGTTTCGCCAGTCCCAAAGTTCAGTTACATTTCTTTTGACAGCAACACGTTCCATGTTTGTATCTATGTTTCACATCCTTGGACTGGATGCAATAAAATTAGGTGAGTGGAGTTCTCTGATTTGTTTCCTCTAAACAAATCCATTCTCAAAAACTATTCCTTTAGGAAACAGGCAGATGCTGAGCCAAAGAAATTCTTACTATAAGCTCAGCAACAGCAAACAGGAGAAAATGAGATGTTACCAAGATATCTTTGGCAAAACTGGTGAGATATTTTGAGTATTAGGATTCCAGCCATCTGCCACCGTCACCTATCCCCACAAAGCTCAGTGACCATATCTTTTTCTGCTAATGTCATTTTAAATGAAAGTAGCTCAACATAGAAAAGACACACATACAAAAAAAAATAAAAACCAACAACCATGGGCCATCAATGCATACTCAAGTCTGAAAATAGGCATGAATCTTATTTAAGGCCTGCTTCCTCCCGAAGGAGCACACAAGGTAGAACAGTAACTCTAACTCTTATCTGAACCCCTTTATTGCATTTCTGTCCTCTGCTAACCACAGGTACCTCATTCTTCTGCATCTCTTGGAAAATGCAGAATTTCTCATGAAACACCTTGAGGGCATGCAAGAAGGAATGAAAGGGGAAGAGAAAAAAAGGAATAAAATAAAAAGAAAATAATCTTCCTCTCAGAAGAGATCTACATCAACTAGGACGAGAAACTGAAAGAGAGGTAAGTAAATGCAAAGAAATTCTTACTTTTCATCAAATCCTTCTACCAGCCTTATATATACACAGAAATGCAGGACTAGATCAAAGGTTTGAGACAGGAGGTACAGACCACTGTGTCTGGCACACTACCCTCTGAGATAATCTCTTCCTGAGTTATTTAATATACAGACCAGGCTCCACTGAGAAAGGACAGGAAGAATTCATTTTTTGTTCTGTAATACCAGGAGGGCCAATGGAATCTCTACTTATTCTTTATACCTTACAAAGTCTGTCCTGCAGAGCTTAGAAGCCAATAACAATGAAAGAAGCAGAGCATATCCTTACATTTTCCACCAGCAGTGGAACAGTGCCATCCAAAACTGAAATAAGTAACTTACAAGCATCTAACTTTGGCACTTGGTTCTCACCACTTTTTTTAAACACTGCAAATAAATGAAAAGTATTTTTCTTTCTGGGATTTACAAAGGTGCACTGGTATCTAGTCTGTTTTATTCAATAACTTCATTAAAGTACCACTTAAAGTGAAACTATTTTAGATGTTGATATGTCTTACACCATTGTACTACTGCATTAGCTTGGGGAAGTTTGCTCAGGAACAAGAAGAAGCACAGTTCACACCAGACTACACCGGAATGAAAATACCATGCTAAGGCTAATCACTATATACTGGGATTTCAAAATCATTATGTATTTTGTCTTTACATTTGTTTTCTTTATAACAGATGCAAAGAAATACTCAGCAACTACCAAGAAGTCCTCAAACAAAACAAGGTCAAAGTAGGAGTGACAACTGATGGCTCATCTCTCCAAGAATAAGAAGGTACTAACACTCTTTGCCTAGGAAAAATATGTAGATCTGCACGAGTCACAGACTGCAAACTACAGCTTACCTTTCAGTTGACAATCTGTCTTGAATGTGCTCTTGAGGCATAAAAAAGTATACTGCTGCCTGCAGTTTGCTTGGAATTCTACCTCATCAATCTATCAAAAAGGCTGGTGAAACAAAGTGCTGCAGTCGGACTCTTATAACAGGTGAGGACAACCTTTTTGCATAGGAGTTAGTGAAATTTGCTCTTCTGACATTAAACTGTTCTTTTCTGTAGAGTATTGGCATGATCATTACCGGGACAAGATTCACTATTCACACTGTGATATTCAGCTGTAAAACAACCTAAGTGAGATAACAGACGCTTCATATTATAACAGTAAGAAGTAGCTTGTAATTGTGAAGTAAGTGAAACAAATCATTGGCCAGCTTCCAGGAAAGCCTGTTCCACAGAAGAAACAGTAACAGTGACAAAAAGCATTACCCAAGCTCCTGCCATGGGTCTGAGTCTCTGATCTGTATGATACAAGATCTGCCTACCTCTCGCTTGGATTTCTGGGAGGAGCGTTCCAGAACATCATCACTGGAGAGGTCAGAGTCCTCTGAGAAACTCAGGTGTCGACGGAGCTGCAAATCTGAGAAGATAGGAATAAGAAGGGGGAGTTAGAAAAACAGTAGCTACAAGAGTGCATTTCCCTCTGTAAGCACTTCAGATCTCAGCTGGCAAGTTGCTTCAACTTCAAAATTACAGTTGTTTATGCCAGTCTTAGCTGTGCTGCCTCAGATTACATAGTCAGCACAGAAGCACTGTTCCACAAAATGATAGTCACTAGTTAGAAGCTTAAATCTGGGTGTGTATCACTTTCTGTGAACAGTACTAGAAGTCACGGTCATGATTCTTCCTTTCTGCTGCTTCAATTCTCTAATGCAACGTACAGCACTTGGTGACAGCAGCAAGCACTATTCTGGCTTTTAGAACAAGGCCAAAGAAATGTAATATGTTTCCTTTTGATCATGTTTATGGCTAACTTACCATATCACAACTTGCTATTAAACATCCCTGTCTGTACCTAATGGCATATGAGAGATTTACATGAGGCTGCAGAATCTGCACGCTTAGGTGAGCAAACAGTTGTCAGATCACAGAGAACACATCAGTGACTGCATCTCTGCAGTCTTCTGTATCCACAGAACCAGGTTGAAAGAAACAGAACATCCATGGAAAAGATGAGGATCACATATAAAACAAAGATCTAGCATCACAAACACCTGACTCCAGTAAATAGTGCTTCTGTCTCAAATCAGCATAAGGCAGAACCTGGATGTGCCTTGTACATGTTAAGAGTGAAGCTTCTATTTAAGGATCCTTTTAATTCCGTAAATATGCAGACACACAATTCCAGTTGCTGCTTATCCTGATCTTTACCTCTAACAATGAGGAGAAGTGCCAATCAACACAGTATCATGATGACAGATTTACTTTCAAGGATTACGCAGCTGTATCACGTATCTACTGTACCTGCAGCTGTAATCAACGGAGATGCTTTGTGCTTGCCAGAGTCCACAGTAGCACTACTTGAGGGAGTACTTGGGCAGGATTTGTCATCAGCTTTCTTCTTCTTGTCTTTCTTATACCCAGAAAAAACAGACTTCCATAATGACCTGGACTTCGTTGTTTCCTCTGTCCCACCACTAGATTTGTCGGAAAGCCTGCTGTCATTTTTGGATTTCTTCTCCTTTTTGTTCTTACGAGGGGAGAAAAGAGAAGTTCTTTTCTTACTCTTCCCACTGGAGCCCTCTGAAGAGGTGACAGATCCTTCAGGTCCAGCCACATCAGCAGGAGTGGAGAACTTCTCACTAGCAGCATCATGCTTTAGTGTGGACACCTCTGCTATTTTCAATGCCAAGTGCTTTGGAGAGTCATGAAACAACTCTTTGGTCTTCAAAGGCATAGAAGATGCCTTTCGTGCCCTTGCGGATCCAGCAGCTGCAGCCATCTCCATCTCTTTCATCTTACATAACTGTTTAGCCATGGCATCACGTAGTGCCTGGCTCTTGACAGACTTCTCTCTGGCTCTCATCCTTTCTTCAGCAAGCTCCTTGGCCTCTGCAGAAATTTCAGGCAACACTCTCTTCTTCTGGTTAACCCCTCCCTCCATAGAGGGTGGACCACCATTTTCCTTCACCAAGGGCAAAACAAGTGGTTTCTCTGGCCGTGGCCTACTGGTAGGAGGTGTAAAGAACTTCTCATGAAGGCTTGAGTCCTCTGTCCTGTCATCATATGTGTCCTCCACATCATCAGCAAATGGAATTTCATCCACACTCTCTGCAAAAGACTTTCGCACGTCATCCTTTTTGGCCTGCATTGGTTCTTTGACAGCAGAGGTTGGCTCATGGCGTGGAGGAACAGGAGGCGTTGATGCTGGTGTTGGAGGTGACTTGGATTCAACCTCATTCTGCCAAAGTGCTTGATACCTTTTTCTACGCAAAGTAGCTGGTTCTTCATTTTGAGGAGGTGGTGGTGGGGGACTTGATGGAGGAGTAAGCATAGTAGAGTCAGAAGTGTTGAAGCTCTGGCTAGCCAAAGTTCTCATGTTAGATGAGCTCTCCTGAAGACCAAGTCCTGAACTGCTGGATACATCTCTCTTAACTTCATGGGAACTCCTCAGTTCTTTTTCTGATGGAGATTTTGGAGTGAGCAGAGAAATTTGCTCATTTTCTAACTTGGACAGTCCCTGCCTTCTTGGGGCAGGCTGTGGCTTCACAAGATGCATCCTTTCATCCCCTGTGACACTCTCACTATTAAAAGTCTTCAGAGGAGTTGTCTCAAGGGCAGATACAGGAAAGTTTGATTCTGAACGTTTGTTTCTGTCTACTGGGGTGAGTCCTAAGCTCCTCCGGATTTCAGCACTCTTCATCCAGAACTCTTCTACAAGGTTACTACGTTTCAGAGTTTCTTCTGCAGTGGTAGGGCTCCCCAGTTTCTCCACTTCGCTATCCTGGTTCCTGAGGACCAGTTTAGCTAGAGGAGTAGAAGTTAAGGCTGGGCCAGGCTGGAAACATACTGGAGGCTCCACTGGGGATGGAATGGATGTCTCAGCAGAAGGCAAAGGCTGTGAACAGATAGGCTTTTGAGAAGACGTTGGAGATGAAGCCAATTTTGGTGCTGCTGGCTGAGATTCTGCTGGAGATGTAGGTGCAGTAGTTTCTGGTGATGCAACCGGCTGAGATAACACAGGAGAAAGTGGCACAGAAGGGCTTTTAGCTTTTCTGTCTTTGGGAATTTCATCCTTCGGTCCTTCCTCAAGAAGGAAAAGCTCAGGGAAAAAGCGTGCTTCTGGAGATTTTATTGCAGCCAGGGGATCTTTTACATCCTAATAAATAAAATATAATATAATGTAATAAAATATTAGTAGTCACTGGTTACATTAGAATGCTGCTACATTTTTACTGCTAAACCACCCAAGTATTAAAACTTGGAGAAAAAAAGCAAGCACAAATTGCGTCTCGCTCCCAGGCCTTGAATGTTGTTTAGGATTCCTTCTCAGGTGCAGACGTCCAATTGTATAAAATTATTCTTTGTACACAACAATAAGGCAAATTTAACTTTTGGAACAAAAAGAATGCTAAAGCCCAGAAATCTATTTCTATCTTTTCCCACTCTTCCTTTCAATATCCAACTCTGCATATATGAGGAGTCCCTCATTTCAGACAGATTTCATTCAAGTCTTTCAAGCTCTCATCAACACAGCAGTTTCTGCTGGCTTGCATCTACTGCAGCTGCAACTTTTTTTTAAAGCAAGGGGTGCTTTAAGAGCAAATTAGGCAAACTGCCATATTACTCAGTAGTACAATTCTTGGTTTTATATCTAACCTTTCAGCAAGGGACTTCTCTTACTGAGTTCTTATCTTTCCATGGTATCTTTTGCGCTAGCTTTCTTCTAAAAGCAGGAAGTTTAGTTCAACTGTCACAAGACCACGAGAGAATAAACTGCTCTGTGTGTTTCTATGACATATTAAGCACTCAGGTCTTTAAGTACTGCATTTGGGCATTATCCCAATGCAAAGTATAACTCTGTCTAACAGAATCATTGGATTAGTCTGAAAAAATAATCACCCTCCATTTTAATAGACAATATTGTCAACAATTGCTGTCAGCAAACTAGCCTTATCCCATCATCTGTCCATTGTGCAAGTAAAATGGTTTATAACAAAACTCTCTAGGAAAGTCAAATCATTAAGCAATTCTTCACAAACACTGGAGATAAATGTTTGAAATAAACATTTTAAGGGTCATGGACTTTCTGCTCCTGCATCCTATTAGCTGGAAACAACAGTAAGCTTGCATGCCGATTTCAGGGCTAACAGTACAATGTTAAATAACTCAGCTTCCTTCAGCTGAACTATGTTGCTACCCAGGAAAAACTAAACACTTGGTTACTATGGAATAAGTAATACAAATAAGATTAATACAGAATCTGGTTTTGGTACAGAAAGGATACCCAAACCAGGACAAACAAGAAATAGCTCACTGATGACTTCCATTATGCATTATATGCAATATACTTCTTGTTAACTGTGCATTGAAATGAAAATATCCTCTTTAATTCTTTTTGCATTTTGTGATGGGAACTTGGGTGACTATGACAGAGCCTCTACACTCTAGAAGTAGGAAAGACAGTACATTATTTTTAAAGCCTACATAAAATGAAATTTCAAGAATACCAATTATAGAGACCAAAAAGAAGAAAAGAGCATGGCTGTCAGTTCTCAATAGTTTGATCAACAAAAAGTTCTATTGAACTGTAGGTTCTAAGCAGAAAACTCGACCAATTCCCCTTCTTACCTCTGCTTGTTCTGCTTTGAGACTATCAGCTGGAGACAGAGGAAGAACAATGTCATTAGTTGACTGGTTAGGAGCAGACGGCTTGCATGGATCTATAGAAAGCAAAAATATGTTTAAGAAAACAAATGAGACTGCTGTATCCTGAATTTCTAATGTTACATGCAGCAAGTAGTGACAAATTCCACGGCGTCATACAAATTCTAGGTGAGACATCTGGAACCTCACCAAAATTTTGTCCATGTACAAAGCAGTAAAAAATTTTATATAAAAAATTCCACAAGCAGCAGCAATTAGATGGGCTCTCACTCTTTCCAAAGCTGTAATCAATGGACTTTGCAAAACACCAATGCAGGTGCATACCTTGCCACTGAGAGCAGTGAGTTGGTTCAAATCCAAGAGATTTAAAATCTTAAATAAATGTATAGACTATCCAGAAGGCAATTACAACCATTCAAACACTGGTGGGAAAGCTATTACCTTCTGTCACGCGGCAAGAAGCATCTTCTGCTCCTTCTTCATCTTCAGAAACTTTCAGTCCTGGCTCTTCTGCGCTACCTTGACGTAAGCGAAACTCGGCTTCTGCATCAGATGGGATGTCATCTGGTCATCAATAACACAGGTTGGGCAGGAAGGGGTAAAAAGAAAAGAAAAGAATAAAAGAAGACGACTGTTGGATGCAAGTCCATCAGGACATCTGTTTATTATTTTCAAAAACTTTCATAATTCTTTTGTTCACATGGTTCCAATCACTTTCATAACATGAATACCTAAATGTTTTAGTTCTTTTCTTAGTGCTGAAACAGTCATTTAAGTAGATATGATAGATCATTACTAGAAAGTACTAAAGAGGTAATTGATGTTATAGCTTCTCAGTTTTCTAAAAACTTCTAAATGAGAAGATTTTTAGTATAATACTATGACCACTTCACAAATCTACTTCTATTTTTGTTATTCATACTGAACATGAACACAAGACTGAGTCTTCTAAATAGCAGACAGGAAAAGGATGCAAGAAATTTATTCTACAACCCATAGCACAGAAGCTTCTGCTTCTTTTTGTCCTTCAAGCCTGGCTCCCTCTAGGCTATTTGAAAGAAACTCCTACTGAAAACATGATTAAGCTTAAGTACCCTCATACAAACTGTTTTATATCAATACAATTCTGTTGACATAAGTGGCTCACAAGATGCATAGAGATACCCTACCGTCATCCAGCTCTGCACCCGTGTCTCCCTCTTCACCCGCCTGCCCTTCAGTGTCTGCAGGCTCTGTGCCCAGCTCATCCTCCACACCATTATCTTCACACGAAGCTAGAATATATTCCAAAATTTAGAGAAAAGAAAAACATCTATACAGTGAAAAGGGCATACACTGAACTGAAATCATAGTGAACATATTTATTTATTACTGTCAGAACAAGAAATTCTGAAGTGTGTCAGCTGGAAGGACATAATATGAAATTATACTTCCAAACTCCAAGAAAGAAAGGAGTGCCTGTCCCTTGGGATCTGTAAGGCATTTGCAGTGACAGCTGCAGGACTTTTCTGAGAAGAAGGCCTTCTGAAAAAATTCAACAAGAAGGGGACTGAGAGGCCACCAAACCAGAATTAAGTTTACTTTTTTTCCAGTAAATCACTATCACTTCATAGCACCCGTGTATTAGGTGAAAACTGAAATCTCACAGTGTACCACAACTATTCATCTAGAAACTGAAACAGGCTTTTGAGGACGTAAATCAGAGATGAGCAGTCTAGTACTAGGACTAAACTTTATTATGTGTGGAAACAAACTCTGGGCAGCTGTGGCTCTCTTTGGCATTTGATGTTGGCAATTGTAGCAGTATTTAGTCACAGGAAGAGAGAAGACCAAGCTGTGAGGTCTACCTTTCATTAATAACTGATATTAGAAAAACTTAAAAACAAACAATCAAAAAAACAGCCCCACAAAAAAAGATCCAACAACAACTACAAAAAAACCCACAACCCACAACACATTGACCCATCTCTAACACTATGAATGTTTCACTAGGGTTTTTTTCATTAAGCATTTCCAAAGAATGCCATAATTTCAAACATAATTTAAATATAAAGAAGCACTTCCAGATTTTTCAAGGTAGAGTCAATGAACTACATTCTTAGATTTGAGCAGCAGGTCATTTAGCACTGTTATATATCCAACTATTGCAAATGCAAACACAGTCAGCATGTGTCATCATGCAAAATGCTAACTATACACGTAGCACCCAGTCCTACAATGATGATTCTTGGTCACTCTTTTACAGTAAACTACTCATTGCAAGCTTCTGGACCTGCATGCACACTGTGTCACACTGTCCTTTCTAGGAGGGCTCCTGGCAGTTTCCCACAGTAGAGCTGGAGGTTGTTTCCAGCAGGAGTCTGGATGCATTCCTCCAAGTCTGGATGACAAGGAATTTTCCCTATATTCGCCCTATGGGTGTGGATCACACTGTGTCATCTTTCTTCAAAGTCAGATAGTGGACACTGATCTTTCCATTTGCCACTGACGATGGAGCATTTGGGACCACAGATATGTTAGTATTGCTAATTAAGACAATCCTGAAAATAAACCAACCCTCCCTAAAACTGAGGTCTTACAGACTCTCCTCTTTCTCAGTTTTTCGCTGGTCTCAAAATACAGCCTTCAGTGGAGGGTTTGTTTTTCCCATTCTATGTTTTCCACAAGGTATTTTTTCTATGCTTTTCCCCTCTGTAGTATTATGACAGACAAACATATGCGTTAATTTATTTTCTGTCAACTGCTGTGAAAAGGCAATTGTGCTTACATGTGATAAAACACTGACCTATTCCCTTACATCACAGGCTTATAAAATACAGAATCTTACAGAGTTAAAGTGTAGGAAGCTGAGTCACGCAGCAAAGGCTGGACTTCCCAGAGAAGCATATATAAATGTACTGAACAAAACAAACTGTGTCTGATTGTTGCTGAAGTATGCACTAGCCTATGTTGTTTGGGGAATAATAATGTTGTGGGATGGTTTTATGATAACAGCAAATGTGAGTAATCTTAATCAAAACCCGTAGAAATGTAACCTGATGTTAGGAATATCTGATTCCACTATGTACACGTGTATCTTCAGATCCAGACACCACGAGGGGATACAATACACACAGGGAGTGTTGGAGGGAGAAAAGAAAATCAGCTCTTAAATAGGTTGGTATACAAACCTCAAGCGAAGATTATGGATGCACAGACAAGGAACGACTTGGAGCAAGGGGGATCCCATTTTGAGGGACACGGAGAGCTTGCAGGTGGTCGGTTATATTATACATATACTGTGCATATACGTATACGCAGTTAGGATATGAAGCAAGAGGCCAAAAGCTGTCACACAATAATTCAGAAGCTACAAACTATGGCAGCTGGAAACTGGGATCAGCACTTTGCTTGTACCAGCTAGCAGCCAGGAGCAGGCTGCACAATGTGCAGCTATCTCATAAACCACTGCTCTCCTGCCAAAGCAGCAACAGAAGCAAAGTTATATAGATGAGCTAGCTATTCTGATGTGCCAAAGCAACTTAGCTGTAGATTATTACATACCCATAACTACTTCTGTTCCACTCATTTAGGTACTTGCACTGCTTACAGAAATCTACTCTCTCAACTCTAGTCCCAGAATCATCAGTTTTGTCACAGAGCTTAGATGACTGCACAACAAAAGCAAGCGAGCTCTACCTACCATCCTTCAGCTTTACTGAGGCTTTCCTAGATACATGGATCCCCAAGCCAAAGCCAACAGCCATCATTATTCTTAAAGATCCCACCTTCAACCTTCGTCTTCTTTCCTGTCTTCTTCATCAGATAGCTAGTTTGCAGTTGCTATAGATAACTGCAACTGCTTTCAGCACCCCATCTCTTTATCTTTTGACTGGAAGAAAGCCCCATGTTCTTGTAGTCAAGGAGCCGGGAGAATAACACCTGGCCTACTTTTCAGTTTACAGAGAGAATCAAAACACTCAGCTAGATTCCTCCTTTGTTATACCAAAGATAACCTCTCTGTTTGGCCTCCCTTCAGAATGGTTACAACAAACATTGAGTTCATGCAAGAACGGGCTGTCTGAGCAAGGTGTGCATGCACACTCCCCTCCCTCCCTCCACTTCCCGTCATGCAGTAGCGATAGGGCTGTAAGTCCAGGGTTAAAGTACCAGCTCAGCTGCTGAAGGCATGGAGAAGAGACGGGCAGGGTTATTGTGCATTGGAATACATTTAACATCACCAAACTACCTCCAGGGACCGTCTCCAGCCACGCCTGTACCGCCTCATGGCGTACGGAGGGAAGGTCGGACGCTGAATTTAAAAAACAACAAATTATAAGAAGTCAAAATTAGACCATCAATAAGTGTCTAAATCAGAAGAGTGACAAAGGGACAGTCTTCGTTGAGAAATACAAGAACAAAACCTACGAGATGTTAAAATTGAGATATCAGTCAAATGCCAAGGGCCAAACCTTTAGGATCTGCCATGTTAGAGGAAATACACAGTGAGAAAAACTGACGCGCAGGTCGCTGTTGCTGTGTGCTTCGACTGCAACTTTGTACAGGAAGGAAACCCACAGCTGAGGGAACCGAGCTGCCTGGGTCTGAAGGCCAGCAGATGAGAAGGGGCACTACAGCACAGTGGTAGGGGCTTCCGTGTGCCGCCATGCTGCCCCAGCCTTCAGAACAAACCCCACCGCCACCGCCGCCCTGGTAAGCTCTGCTCAGCCAGGGACAAGGTTGTCTACTGAACTCAGATGGAAAGCTTGGAGGCTACCCACAAGTGCTTTGCGACAGCCCTTGCAAAAAACAAACTGCCTGTACTGTATCAGAGTGGAACTGAAGGAGCTCACCTACTGATCAGTGTTTTCCTAGTCTGGCCTAATTTGAAGGAAAGAGAAGAAAATATTATTGTTCTGCTTCCCAAGAGAAGCTGGAAAGTCCACAGTCAACTTGGAAGGGTCAATGCAGGTCTCCCTCCATTTTGCTGGCAGGTATACAATGTAGAAAAGTGGAATTGTAAAATGTCAACTAACAGAAAGAATTCAAAAACTACAGTGTCACAGGCCCTCAGGCAGAAGCTAAAGCAACCTCAGTTGCGGTAAGCTTATGAAAATATGTTGACTTTTTTTACTTGTTGTTCTTTAAGCTCTAGTACTGAATATTACAGAAAGCAGAACACTGCGTGCTTCTTACTTGCAGGGAGCTGTTTTCACACCAGAAAATCCCAATGCAACCTGCAAACTGCAACTGTAAGCATTGCTGAGCTGAACTGGAACTGTGTATCAAGTTGGATCATGATTTAAAAAAAACAGCAAAAGAAAAGCCAATTAGAAATATGAGGAAAAGATCATTATCTGGAATGGAATGTGATCAAGCAAGATGAGGTAAAGCCCTAGGTTCTGTAAAACAGATCAGTCATGAGCTTAATCTCATATTTCCTGTGAAAGACATCCCTTCTCACAACATACTTACTCCCCCTGCAATTCTGCCACAGTAATTACGAGACTTTGATAGAAGACAGCCACTCACTAACAGCATCATTAGCTTTAACTAAGCTCAGCTTTCTGCACCTACAACATACTTACCTTAAGATACACTGTAATGCAGGCTAGAATAAGGGCTGTAGGGACTCAGCCCCAGGTGTTTGTAAGACTGCTAGACCGTTAGCATATTCCCCTTCCAAAGTTTTCCTTTAAGCAACTGGCAATTCAAAAAGCTCACATCTCACTTTAAAAAACAGATATACTGTCCAGTGTTCAGCACAGGGAGTCAACATAACCTGTGGTGAGATATGCAAACCTTTGGAACTCCACCATTCACCAATGATACAAAATGCAGTTACGCAGTTTGAATAACAGCTGTAGAGGCTCAATACAGAAGCCAACTCCATTTGATCTTTGCTGTAGCAGGTACACAGTATAGGTAGGTACACAGTATGGCAGGTACACAGTCCTTGCTGCCACAGAAAGCACTGCTACCCCTGAAGTCAGTTACCAGGACCTGATTGCCAGTACTCTACACAGTGAGGAAGAACGCTACAGAGCCAGAGCAGGCACACAAACAGGTCAGAAGTCACAACAACATAAGGCTGAGAAAGCACTCATTTTAAGTACACACTGACTTGAAAAGCAAAATGTTTAACCAAGTGTAATTTCAGAAAGCAGTTCCTTTGGATTACAGCTGTCCCTGTTGTCCACTGGTCTTGAAGAGCACAGAAGCAACAGGGTTAAACAGCTGCAGCTGTGATCTAGGAACTGATGGTGCAGGGCAGGGGAAAATTACCTCTGGAGGTGGAGGACTTTGAGGCTGGGACCATTTTTTCCTCCTCCTCTTTTTCACGGATGTGTGTCCAGTGCACATCTGCCAGAATCTCCAGAGGATCAACCGGATTTACAATCTGCTGCAGCCTAAGGTTTCCAGCTAGCAGATGGAGGAGGGGATGGCATACCGGGATGTGGGCAGGGTGGAATGAAAGACAGGGTGGAAGAGATGGGACAACAGTGGAAAGGAAAGGTAACACATCATAGGAAAGGAAATAAGAAAAAAGAAAAGAAGGTGTTACTGGCTAAGACAGTTTTCAAGACAGAAAAAGTTTAGCATTGTGTGTGCACGCAAACACTAACACAGAGCTCTTCAGACTCCCCACCAAAGCTCAGTAATGCCATTCCAGAGGCAAAGAGATGCTATCAAAAAAAAAAACCAACTGTCATTGCAGATTATGTCTATTGCAGGCAGTTTCACTGAAATGAAAGACATTCCCTGGGTGTCCAACAGATACGTGGTATGTAAATACCAATGTAGCAGAAATTTCCAGCTCCTTCAGCCTATTCTTCATGACTGTTGACAAAGACATCTTGCTTTGAAGGGACAGTCTGCTTTGTAGCTTGAGGCACCAAAACAAAAGGTCTTTCATGCCCTACTATTAGGTTAAGTACTCCTATTTATGCTGAACAGTATCTCCTTGTGAATTAAATTACATGAGGGATCTCAGAGTTTCTCACGCATGTGGATGTGCGTGCATGCTTAAAATAGTACATGGCGCAATCCTGCTATTTTGCACTGTAAGGCTTGTTCAAAAGGTGCAATTCTTTTTCCGAAGAATATCAGTATTTTCATTATGGCTTAACAGTGTCTCCACTTCCTCAGAAGGGACTTCCTGTTACAGAAATGAATTTGTTTAAAATAGTTTGCATTACTCCCCAGTTATCTGCCTATACAACCCTCGGATATGGATAGTCAGAGAGAACAATAGGCACACTACTGAAGCAACTGATAAGCAAACTGCTTAACTGCTGCAAAACACCCGTGTTGGAAACATCTAACCTGCTGCACATCATATTGACAGACCCTACCTCTGTTGCTGTCAGTTACGGGACTACAGCTCAGGCTTTATTTACCCATTAAAAAAACCCAACTTATTCTATAGGGAACAAGGTGTTCTGTGTCTTCTGTAGTGCTCTTCAGAAGCAAATGATCCATTCTGAGAAGTAAAATGCCACTTACTTCATGAGCAGTAAGTCAATTTTTAAAACAGCCGATTACTCCTACATAGGGCCAACACTGTTTCAGCAGTTAAGAGCCTCAAAAACAATTAGGTTTTTATGTTGTGGACTAGTGTTTGAAGGAAACAAGAAACATCAGCAGCATTTAGAAGTTGCACTCATCATTTCCTGCTGTCTTGTTTTAACAAAGGTCCTCTTTCCCGGCCATGTTTTTCCCAGAAATGACAAAGTGTTTGAGACTTCTGTTTCAGAAATGACTGTGTGTGACATTTGGCACCAGAATTGCAGAAGAAACAGGCAGAAGGAACTGCAGGAAGGACAGAATTACCTGTTGGTTATTAAAGAGGAAAAGGGGTCAGATGCACAAACTCAAATGCAGAGCAGAATTCACGATTTAGCCAAGGATTCAGCAGTTTTAGGTCTCTGTTACCTCATCAGAGAGCTTTCTTATCAATCAGCACAAACTACAGGACATCTTGCAGGAACAAAGGTCTGGGCTTTTCTCACTGCAGTCCAAAGCACTCACATGCAGGCCCCAAGGTGAGTAGAGTTAGCATTTGCATCACCAAACAAAATTTTGTGTTAAATGGTTTAGGTTTGCCAGCAATGGCTGAGAAGTATATAGTCACTCAGCAAGGCTAGGAAAGAGCAGGTCCCACGTGATCTCGATGTTTGAAAATGGATTTCTCTGGGATTTAGACTAGCGTAACATACCTTCGGTTACCCCACAAGTATCCAAACAGAGGCCTGTCCCACTTAAAACATAGGTCCTTTTCACCTTTTCCAGTAAATAAATAGCAGTTTAAACAGCACAGCCAACTGTGTAGGAGTGCTGCTTGCCTGACAGGCAAACCTGATATTTCCTTGAGATCTAAATGCTTGAGAATTTCAAGAGACACTTGGTGCAGCCCTCTCTCAAGACTGCCTGCAAAGTTCTACAGGAACTGGAAGCTGGGTGCTAATTCCACTTACATATGGAAAGGTAGCTTTCCCCTCCAGGCACTTTCTAAGAAGTGAGCAGTCTGGATGTTTAACTTCAAATGGAACAAGAAGCCACTCACTAATCAACTCCTCGGAATCCACATCTAGAGAACAGTAGCAGCTACAACAGCTTCATTTATGCTCTTCAGCCATCTTACTAATACTTCTCGTTCTTAACACCACAAAAGTTAATTTGGAAAAAAAACAAGGTCAGAAGCTAAGCTACAGCTGTTACAACCATAGGCTGCAAAATAGGCAGTTAGATGACAGGGTATGCCCTCTTACCTGCAGTAAGGCACTTGGGTTCTCCTCTTATGAATTCTGGCTCTAATGAACCACATTGAGGGACTAAGGGATTAATAAGCTATTAGGACCAAGTGCTTCAAAAAAACGAAAAACAACCATCAGAAATAAACTGCAACAAAATGCATTATGGAAAACAGCACAACTAGTTAGATAGGAATGTCAGATTCATCTTATGCACATTTTATGATCAAAATATCCGAGGGATCTGCTCCATTTGCTTAGCTCCCCAGTAGTCTCTCCCCACAGACACACATTCACAAAGGACAATAACAAAAAATGCAAGTTTGCTCCCACAATCGCAGTACTTTGGATGTGCCCCACATGTCTGACAAATTGCACAAGTGTGCAGCACATCTATGTGTGTATGAACCAAACCTGAAGCTCCTAACTAGGTGGGGGTCATTGTTCATGCACATTACAGTTGCAAATTGTCCAGGTTTTCTGGATACCCTCAAGTGCTGGGCAACTTTATTTTTTTTTCCTAAAATCAGGGCAATGTCTGGTAACAACTGCTATCAAATCGATATTTAGAAAGCTGGTGAAGTAATTATGTAAAACACAGAACCTTCTCGTGTGGGACCTGCTCTTTAAAACGTTCCCCCCATACTTAGGGGAAGTGGAAATAGCGTATGGGTACCTTTAAATGTACCCGTGTCCTCTTCATTTGAGAGACGTTGAAGCCAGAGGCCTTGCTGCAGCTCTTTCTCCCAAGGGCAATACTCTCCCTCTACAGCAGAGGGAACCACACATCCATATATCACATCAGACACACGTGTGTACATACACAAGCAATGGAGAGAGAGAGAAAGAAGGAAAGAGAGAGAAAGGACAGCATCAGAAAGAAAGACTGACTGGAAATCCACCGAGACCCCTTATTTCTACTGTATGTAGCAGGAAAACTGCTCAAAAAAAAACCCATCTGCCTGAGCACACCAAGATTTAGCAGACTAAACATGCATGTTACCACATTAAAAAAGCAGTCCTGACTTTCACAGCTCCTACATTTAAAATCCAGGCAAGCAGCCTGCTGACCTGATGAGCAGAACTAAGCCACTAAGACCTAAAATAACAGGACCAGTGTTGCAGTAGTTAGCCAAAGTCCTTTGTGAAGAAGCTCTTTGGAGTCTACCAGTCTTCACAGAAAGGAAATGCAAGTATAAAGACAAAGACAAGATCAGCAAGAAAACGGGAATGATGATGAAACACTGAAAATGCCTGTTCTTAGCACAAACTCTGCATTTTGATGACTGAGACAAACACAGAGGGGAAGGAGTCTTTCCCTAAGATTTTCCACAGAAATCCCTCAGAGAAAAAACAAGAATCCTCTGAACTCCCTGAACTTCTCAAGGTTGTCCTTAAACAAAGGAGGACTAAAAGCAGATTCTTCTGGGATGTCCTGCTGTCAGCTAGGGCACTACCCCTGAGTGAAGCACCCCACAGCACTGAAAACATTGCCTCCACAGTGCTTCCAGTTCTTGCCATCAAGGAACAAAGAGCCCATTCAAATCCAATTCCCAATAAAAATAATAAATAACAGTAAAACAATACATTGTCACAAAGCTGTGAGTTGCACATGTCGGCATGGAGTATGGACAGCATACTGCGCTGGTACTAGTGCTGCAAGTGCTCCGTGGGGAAAGTTCTTTCTGCATCCAAAATGGACAATTCAAAGCTTCCCTCGACAGTAACACCCTCAAAAACCAAAGTAATAAGACAGTGAAAAGAGAAAGAAAGTTTTCCAAGGCTCATTCTGCAGAACAAGAAGTACGCAGCCCAGCCTTCCCTGCTGTCTAGCAGAAAAAAGGGACAAATCAATGCGTCTAACCTTCGCTAGACTCCTCTTCATATTCCTCATCATCCTCCTCCTCCTCCTCGTCTTCTTCTCTGTCATCATACTCATGATTTTCCTCCGCTTCAATCTCTTCTTCGCTCTTCCCCTTCAATAGGGCATGGATGCGCACAGCCTCTTTCCATGGCACACCTCCCAAGTCTGAAGGGGGTTGCTGAGGCAGCAGCAGTTCATCATCCTCATCTTCATCTTCCTCCTCCATCTCAGACTCTGAACTGCTGTAAAAGTTTAAAAAAAAAAAGATAAAGAAACCACTAGTAAATGTTTCCTAGATCAGCCCTGGACCACTGACAAGTCATTTCAGTACATACAAGTCTGATGTACACACAGTGGAAACCACAATACTAATTTTCTGCTTTCAATATTTCATATGTATTTTCAGTGACAGCACTATGCGTGGCCTGTAGTACGGTCACAATGTGGCATAAAAGTGCTCATGAAACCATGCCCAAATATTTTTGCAGTATTAATTATTACAGTGCGTGATCATACAGTGGAGAGAAGTGACCTTCCTAATACCACATTGCTTTGGATAAACTGATTCAAGAGTGCTTGGCAGTATCATAACGTGGAAGGTCACATCCTTTGATAATGGCAGCTTCTGCTAGCGTTCTGGATAGCTAAGATGTTTTTGGCACTTGCTGCGGACAACTATAGAAGACCTTATGAGAAGAAAGAACTCACAACACAACTATCAGGTGCCAAAGGATACAGAATGTAAGAGCTAAGGAAAGATGGAGAAAAAAATGCAAAATTCCTCACTTTTCTACACAGAATTAAAGCATGGTTTGGGTTGGAAGGCACTGTTACCATCACCTAGTTCCAACCCTCCTGCTATAGGCAGGGACCCTCTAGAGCAGGTTGCTCAAAGCCCCATCCAGCCTGGCCTTGAACGCTTCCAGGAAGGAGGCATCAACAACCTCACTGGGCAACCAGTTTCAGTGTCTAACCACTGTCACTGTAAAGGATTTCTTCCTAACATCTAGTCTAAATCTACCCTCATCCAGTCTGGAATCATTTCCCCTCCTTCTGTCACTACACGTCCTTCTCAGCTCTCCTGTAGGTCTCCTTCAGGTACTCTGAGGCCTTCTCTTCTCCAGGATGAAGAGCCCCAGTTCTCAGCCTGTCCTCAGAGGGAAGGTACTCCAGACCTCTGATCATCTTCACGGCCCTCCTCTGGACCCACTCCAACAGCTCAATGTCCTTCTTGTTTTGGGGGCCCCAGAACAGGATGCAGTGCTCCAGGTGAGGTCTCACAAGCACCACCTCCCTTGAGGTTACACTCCCTCCTGGTCACACTCATCTTGATGCAACCCAGGATACAGTTGGCTTTCTGGGCTGCAAGCACACACTGTCGGCTCATGTTGAGTTTTTCATCAATCAGCACTCCCAAATCCTTCTCCTCAGGGCTGCTCTCAAGTCATTCTCTGCCCAACCTCTATCTGTGCTTGGGATTGGGATTGCCCTGACTCAGGTGCAGGACCTTGCACTTGGCCTTGTTGAACTTCACGAGGTTGGCATGGCCCACCTCTCAAGCCTCTCCAGGTCCCTCTGGATAGCATCCCTTTCCTCTAGCATGTCTACTGCATCACTCAGTATCATATGCAAATTTGCTGAGAGAAACAAAATTATCGTATGTATCCAATTAAGTACAGAGTGTACACAGTGGCAAGAAACCATAGGAAGCAGTATAAGGATAATTACAATGATGAGCTCATTATTCTCACAGTGTAGTCTAAAACATGCAAAACAATAGACCATTAGTGCTCTTTGGTAGGCATCTCTCTTTGATTCTAGCAGTTCTTCTCTATAGGCGGAAGGGACAAGGGATTGTCTAGAACTGTTGTTGTCTATACAACACTGCATCTAGCTCATTCTTACATGCTGGACCACCTAGAGATACTGGGAAGAACAATGGTTGCAAGTCATTGGAAAACAAATATAAATCATAACATCTTCAGAGAATGCATGCATATGGTGACAAAGTATTCTTTATTTTTCCTTAACAGAACACTGTCAGAAAATAATTGTATTTACTAGAGCAGCAGTTGGATGTTTCCCATATAAATCTTAATAGGCCCAAACTCATCTCATTTGAAGGACAAAGCTACTACAGCTAAAATTTAGGTGAATCATTTGAGAGCAGTATTCTGCTGCTGCTGCTTCCTTATGGAACTATCACTGCAGGCAACAAACTGACACCTTTGGCAGAACCCCTTCCACATAAACAATGAAAGGGAAAACAGAAAAGTTGAAAATAGCAAAGGATGAAATTTAAATTGCATTTAGGTCTATGAAATATACCTTCTTTTGCTGTTGAAATTCTTTTCCCCACAAGTAAGATTTTCATTATATGAGCATTATATGTGACAAACTGACACTTTACAAGAACAACATACAGCAGCACCCTTTCTTTTGTATTGCAGATAAGCATTTTCAGGCTTAGAATGTTGAATTACTCTGCCACTACATAAACCTATCAGATTTACATAATTTTATTCAGCTGCTAGTATGAGAGATTGGTTTTGACAGTGGACTTAATGAAGAAGACATTATTTTTTCATGTCCTGATTGTCATGTACTTTTGTCCATGGACTCTGCAAGTTCTGCTGCATATACATAAAATCATTTTGACATTCATGAAATGCTAAAGTTATAAGCCACATTTTTACAGCATATATTGAATACTTATTTTTAATGGGCCGTCTCTTTTTTTCACATGCTAAACACAGCTGCATGCCATGGACTCCATGTATATTCCAGGAGAATGGAGTATATTCCAAAAGCTTTACACAGGTATGCTCACAGAGATAAAACTGATGTTTCCATCCTCCCTGCTCCCCGATTAGCAGCACAGTTTCCTGTCCTTTAGTATGGAAATAAACCTGACAGGTGCTGCATGCCGGCTTGTTCACGGGCTGTCAGCAAGGTTTACTGCTGCTCCAACTGTTACCATGACGGCTGAGTGGGACAAGCTCTTCAACCAGTCTGCTTATCTCATGTAATATTGACGACATGCATTCTTTACCACACAGCTCACTTTACCTTCCTTGGCTTTTATTTATAACCTGCTTTTTGTTTGGCCTTTGAATACTGAGAAATGAGTATATGAGAGAGCAGTGGGATGGCCTGGTATAATGGGCATTCCTTTCAGCTGGCTGATTATGTGCCACAAGAAATAATTCAACAGGTGACATTTTTCTTCTTTTTTTCTTTTTAATTTCCTACAAAGTGGCGATCAAACAGCAAACTTGGTTACTTTATGGAATTCTATAACCAATTGAATAGCCCTTTGAAGAGATGTTCCTACACAGATGCAGTGCTGTGGAAAGGAGCCTGAACCGTGGAAGTGAGCCTCTTCCATTCCTTTGCCATATTCCTTTCCTCACTCCGAGGGCGGTGAGGCCCTGGCACAGCTGCCCAGAGAAGCTGTGGGTGCCCCATCCCTGGAGGCATTCAAGGCCAGGTTGGAATGGGGCCCTGGACAGCCTGAGCTGCTGGGTGGCAGCCCTGCCCATGGCAGGGGGTTGGGACCGGGTGGGCTTTGAGGTCCCTTCCAACTCAAGGTGGCCTGTGATTCTATGACACAAGCCAACACTACATGCACTGTCCTGTCACGCTCCTTTGAAAGGTCACCGTAACAGAGGATTACACCATGAATGCAGATGACAAATTGCACATTACTGCAAGCTAAAGTCAATGAGTTAAGCACATAAAGAGTTTTCTCTTGAGGAGCTGATGGAAGATTAACTCTGTTTTGAACAAATGTCCTTAGAATACAATTTTCTGTAAAACTTCCCTGGAACGTTTACATGCTCACGAGTACGTGTGCATATGTGTGCAGGGAAGCTGCACAACCAATGGCAACTCTGATTTGGAGTTCATATCCAAGAACCTTGAAGCTCAATCCCTTACTCCCTAAGACACGGAGGGAACAAAAAGTCCTGCATTTCCTCAGCCTGCTCCTAACCCTGCGGCTCTGCGCTGACAATGAAGATGATCAAATCAGGGCTTTGGTTGGCTTGCTGCAGGAATCAATTTCTTTTCTTTTGTTGCTGAAAAAGCACTGAGATTTCTTCCTTTTTATTCCTCTCCGTTCTGAGAAATACCAGGCAGTTGATACAGCTGAGCAGAGGTACAACAGAGAGATACATCATCTAGAAGATTCTCTGGTGTTTGCCCACACAGCCTTATTGATGCTCTAACTAAATTGCTTGCAGCGTCTGGTTTTGAGACAAAATTTTCTCCAGGTCAAACTGAATGGGAATTTGGTAACCTTTTTCTTTCCCTTTTATTACAAGTGTGAAGTTCCCTAGTAAACACTGCTTTGAGCATGCAAAATCTACCAATTCCACATATGATAGGCACAAATACTTTGTTCAATTCAAATCACAAGGCTAACTAACTAAACGACAAAGCCTACAAGAGGAAATCAAGCTACCTAACCTAATGAAGTAATGGCCTCAGACTCCACAATTCTGCAGAATAACTCATGGAGATGACCAACAGCTTCATCCCCAAATGCCAAAGTTCCACTTTTTAAACTAATTCTTCTCCTTTGGAAATCTGCCATTTGCTGAACATAACCACCATGTCCTGATTTACTGGAATCATGACAAATAATAATAGGGCTCCATTATGGTGAATTTTGGTTTAGAGCTATGAACATAACAGACCACAAACCCCACAATATTGCTAATGCCAAAACTGTCCCACTGATATAATTTCTAGGCCTGAATTGGGAGCTAAAGGAGGAATCAGTAAAGGAAGCAGAGTTTGCATCTGCCATTAAATTGTCTCATGATTGCTTAACCAGATCAAAGTTCTCAATTGTGCAAAATATGTCAAAATAGTATCTTCCAAAGAAAAGAATATGTGAAGAAATTAATCAAAAAGTATTATTTAGGTTTTGGAGAAATCTGCTATACAAATTATCAGCAGTTCCTAGGCACTTCTATTAAGCTACATCTTCATAAGTCCAAATATACATGCACTCCATCTAGACTGGCAGAGTTCCGGCTATTAGCAGTTGCCCATTTTTAGATCCTTCCTCTTCAAATTTACATCATAAGATAAATAAATGGCAGATTTCTTCACTACCTATAAACATTTTAATGCACACAGCTGCATTCTTCACCACACCAATTCAATTTCACATGCATGAATGCAGTAAAACATTTTTTTCTAGAGTCCTATTCCTGAAGGTTATGTATGCTTAGAATATGTTTGCAGGATCTAAGCCTTGGGAAACCAGTAACAGCATTATTTGAGTTTATTTCAAGAAGACTGATGGGCAGAATAAAGCTGAGAAGATAAGGGTTGTTATCGTTACAATGACTAGAAACCCCAACCAAGAGACTGAGAATTTAAAGAGTGCAAGATATTCTTCATCAAATACTCTCTCCCACTGACTCCTGCAACAACTATTTCTGTCAGCTATACCTGCAAATACTTGCATTCTGATGTGTTTACACATCGCTTTAAAGAAAAAGACAAATTTGTGAAGGTGCACAGCTATAAGCACCCCTTCATACTAAGATCTCTAGGCTTTCCACCAGCACTCTGCTGGGATTACGTGTGTGCCAAGCCTGAGTTTTTTAACTAAAAATGTTGTTGAACTGTGATGTAAAATAGAAAAAAAAATAGTCCATTTTGGAACTCCCTTCCATTTGAATGATCCGCAGATCATTGAAATTTGAAATGAAATGATGAAATTTGAAATGAAAACATGAAATTCGCAGATGACACCAAATTGGCTGGAAGTGTGGATCTGCCTGGGGGTAGCGAGGCCCTACAGAGGGATCTGGACAGGCTGGAGAGCTGGGCTGGAGCCAATGGGATGAGTTTCAACAAGGCCAAATGCCGGGTCCTGCACTTCGGCCACAACAACCCCAGGCGACGCTACAGGCTTGGGGCGGTGTGGCTGGAGGACTGCGTAGAGGAAATGGACCTGGGGGTATTGATTGATGCTCGGCTGAACATGAGCCGACAGTGTGCCCACGTGGCCAAGAAGGCCAATGGCATCCTGGCTTGCATCAGAAACAGTGTTGCAAGCAGGAGCAGAGAGGTGATTGTTCCCCTATATTCAGCACTCGTGAGGCCGCACCTGGAGTACTGTGTCCAGTTTTGGGCCCCTCACTGCAAGAAAGATATTGAGGCCCTGGAACGTGTTCAAAGAAGGGCAACAAAGCTGGTGAGGGGTCTGGAACACAGGCCATATGAGGAGAGGCTGAAGGAGCTGGGAATGTTCAGCCTGGAGAAGAGGAGGCTCAGGGGAGACCTTATTGCTCTCTATAACTTCCTGAAGGGAGGTTGTAGTGAGCTGGGGGTCGGCCTCTTCTCTCGTGTCATTAGTGATAGGACCAGGGGGAATGGTTTCAAGCTACGGCAAAGGAGATTCAGGCTGGACATGAGGAAGTATTACTTTTCAGAAAGGGTGGTCAGGCACTGGAATGGACTGCCCAGGGAGGTGGTGGAATCACCGACCCTGGGGGTGTTCAAGGAAAGACTGGATGTTGTGTTGAGGGACATGGTTTAGTAGGAGCTATTGGGAATAGGTGAACGGTTGGACTGGGTGATCTTTTAGGTCTTTTCCAACCTTAGTGATTCTATGATTCTATGATTCTATGAATCCATGTGCTATTTTCTCAAAAGAATCGTTCGTCTTTAATACAAATTTCTAAACAAATGAATGAATGAATTCTGAAATTGCTTTCCAACTTAGGACCGAACTTCATGTGATTGTGGTTCTACAGTTATCTTCTAAGAACAGCAGTAAGCTATTGAGAAGATAAGAAATGTCAGCAGAAAATAATGATGTACACATCTGGAATATTTTCAAGAACTTTAGAAAAAGCAACCTGGTAAACAGTATGTTAAAAAAAAAAAACAAAAAAAACCCGAGTGAGCAACAGGCAAAAATCTGTTGGGATGGATATAAAAAGCTTATGGACAAGCGTACTAACCTGCTGGGCACATCCTCCTCTGCTCCTTTGTCCAACACACTGCTCAGATTATGTTCTGCTAGTGTCTCCTCAGGAACCTCTTCCAGTTCCTCTTCCCGTTGCAGTGACAGTCGGTAATTCTCCAGCTCAATTCGCTCAGGTGTGCCACGCAAGCGCTTAGCAAGGCTGGGCTCTTCCAGCCCATTTACATTAGGACCTAAAGAATAAGTCAGTGAATGAACAATAAATGCAACAGTCGGAACGGCAATTTCTGAAGAAATTGAGCAATTGGGAGAAATAGGGTATGAGGCAGAGGGAGGTAAGTAAAGTGAGAGAATACCTAATTTCATTATCCCATTCACCACTACTGGCAGAACCTCCTGGGAGCCAGACTGCAAAAGGCAATCTGAGTGTTTTGGGATGATAGATGCTAAAAAGTAGTTAAAATGTCCTAGTTGAGAGATGTTCTAGCTGCAAAAACCTATAGCTGCAGCGGAGTCTGCACAGTCTGGCCACAGGCTGGATTTGTTCTCTGAGATGAAGCAGGAATGCTATGGGGCAAGCCTGCTGCATGATGTTAAAATAGCTACCAGTCAAGCCAGGTAGAGCTATAGAAAGCAAGAAAATATGACAAATACTTGAAGGAGGGGGGGAAGGAGGGAATGAAAAGGGCCACTTGGAGTGATTTTTCAAGCTTTTTTAGACTTGAATCCATTCAGTTTTTAATCAGAGTTTGTTATGAAATGAACCACAGTAAAAAATCTAGGTGAGATGTTCACAACCCCAGCATCACAAAAACCAGAGGGCTACACAAACCAAGTGTACATGAACCAGACAGCCGGAGAAAAGTACACAGAAGCTTCGTTCACTGTGATGCTCAATTAATTACAGTCTAACCTACACTCATCCATCTCTTCATTAAATCTTAGTATTTTAATAGGGAGCCGCTGTTTACCCAGCTTACCATTTACAGAGTCTAATCTTTCCTAGCTTTTGTTTTGCTTTGCTGAACAAACCAAGCCTTCCTCTCGTGAGATAAGCTCTTCAGTGCACAGATCATCCCCCAGGTCTCCACACCTGTCCCTGTTTGGATTAATCTTTCCAAAACCTGCATGATCTGAACTGTGCACAGCTTTCCAGATGAGGTCTTATCTGCGTAACATACAACCCTGCCAGAAACCTCTCATCTGATACACCCTGAGAACACATTTGCCTATTTATACACCACATAATACTGGGGGCTTTATTTATTGACTGATACTCAAACCTTTCTCCTTCTCTGCTTTCAACTGATAAGCACCTTGATGGCAGCCAAAATTGTCAACACTTACTTGGTGCATGCATGACCTGGTACTTTCTAGTATTACATGTCTATTTTTAATATTATAGTCCACATCATTTTGCGGTTCTCAGTGTATGACATGCCTTTCCTCCTCTGCACTGATGAGGGCTGGAAACATTGCCTCAGCAGCGAGCTTCATTAGCAGATTTCTCCTTTTTGGTCAGTATCCTTAGCAAAAGCATTGCAAGGATCAGTCCCCAGATCCACAGTCTGTAGGTGTTACCCAACTCCATTACTTCCTCTTTGAATAAAATTGCTGAACTCCCATTTGAGCCAGCTCCTCCATTACTTGACACTTCATATACTATCCCTCGTCTTATCCAGCTTTAATAATTATTTCCATGTGGCTGCTTTCAGGTACTTTACTGAAGTCCAGACTTTGGATATGCTGCATTTTCTCCCGGAGATTTGCGGATTGCTTCATCAGTAAGAGCTGTCAGGGTAGTTAGGCACAGTGTCTGGTGAATCCGTGTCACATTTTATACCACTTACCTTCATGAGCTCAAAGGACTTCACTGCAGAATCAGAAGTCTTTATTTATTCACTCAAAGAAGAAGTTTTATCTACTATTTACATTAACTGATGTGTACTTGTTCCAATCTCCTTTTCTCCTTTTTCATTCACTTGCTCTCCTGGCTGTATCTAAGACTACATTCAACATCAGACTCCACGTATGCAGACCCATTTCTTTCCCATATCATTAGACTAGAGAATGCTCTCCTTCCTTACCTTCGCACAGCCTAACCCAGCTTGAGCTTTCTCAACATTTACTTTATCCTCTTTCTTTTTTACATCCAAGAGAGCTTTTGCTTTTTCTCTCCATTCTTTGCAGTTTCTCAGTTTATTTCTACTACAGCCTTTTTTCAGGGCAATCACTCACCCAGGAACGCATTAGCCTTTCACACAAAAGACTACACAGGCCTTGCCATAACTAGAGGCATTAATCCCTCAGTCCTTCTCCAGAAAGATAAAATCTCATGAAGACAACTTCCAGGACAATACTTGGTATTACCGAACCCCTCTATGATGTGGACAAGTGGTTGCTGTGCCCCTGGGCTGGACTGAGCTTCTTTATGGTGGAAACCGCAGCTGCTAGCTCAGGTGAAAGGCAGGAGCATCACTGTCCATTTCCAGTGAGAAAGTGGTCTCCATCCTTTCCTGCTGCTAAGCCTTATGTTGTATTAGTGCTTTCAAAGTTTAGTGGAACTGATCTGTCTTCTCAGCTGGGATTCATGCTTCATTTCATTCTCTCTAGATGGTGATACCACCTCAGCCAAATCTATTTTTATAATCTGTGTTACATTCCCTAGCCCTGAGCTCATAGTAACGGGAGAAATGACCTGGAATACTGCTCCGCCAGTTCTGGCTGACAGGGGAAAACCAAGGGCTCTGGGTAATGGAAGAGCATCGAGGTGAGAGAAAACAACTAAAGAATTCACAGAATCAGCAAAAAACGAGAGCTCTTCTACTTGGAACCCTTTATACACAACAGAGCACTCAACTAGGCTCAGCTGTTTCCATAGGAATATCCTTTCACAAGCTCCCTTTTGCTTGTTCTCTTCCAAAGCATACCCCAAAATTGCTGCAACATGCACCAGTGTACAAAGTGATAAGAAAAAGAAAGATAACTTTTTCGCCGTCTGATATTCTCTCACTCCTCTGATTTTCTAACTATCTTAAGCCTTTTTTCTTGTCAGCCTTTTCAAAGTTGGAAAAAAGAAAGAGAAATATTAAAAAAATCATTCCATATAATTAAACTGTATGAACGGAATATATATTTTATATATATGTATATATATATATAAAAGAGATGCTCGTTTCACTGCTACAGTATCTGGGTTGGGGAGAAAGATTAGCAGCAATAACACTGAGGTAAAAGAGGACTGAACATCATGCTGATATCTCTTTATATGCATTGCACTGAGGTATTTAATCTTCTGGGCATGTTATTCAATAGAAACAAAGGATCACCAACCTTCTAATCGTGAAGACTGAGTACAAGTACAAATTGTACAAAGACCATCAAACCAATTACCTCACAGTACAAAGTTTAAGTATGAGCAAATCTATCATTAAAACTATGTTAGAAAAAAATGGAATGATGGGAAAAAAAGAGAAATCTACCTACACTTTAAGGCAAAAGAGTGTACTCAAACCAGGATGTCTGCTAGGCTTGAGAAGTGCTCTCTGCCTCAAAATCCCAAAGAATTAAAAAGAAAACTCCCAGCAATTTTCAAACTCATTTCTATAACCACCCAGTTCAGATGCAGGATTGACAACATTCATTTTACTTTGTACATAAAACAGCTCTATGCCGGACAACATAAGCCAGAAACTGAATTGATAACTAAGGGATTCAGCAAGGGACTTCTAAAACCTTGCTCTGTATAGACACACTTTGTGTGCAAGACCTGGTTTTGTTTCTAAAAGGTGCCATAGGCTTACCTGACTAACTGCAAAGCCACTGCCATTGTTACCCAGTGCTAATAGGAGAAATGCTGACAACCTTCTGTCTACACCACGAAGACATCAGCTACCAAAGGGAAAAGCGTTAGTTTACAAACCTACCTAAGGGACAAAGCTAGGTGAGAGATATAGGTATACTTAATGTGGCAAGAACATGAGTAATTTGTCCACATTATGCTACAGAGTTCATATCAATTCATTCGAAGCTACAAAAGAAAATTAAACCGGCACAAGGAAATTTGAAGCTGTCCTACCTCACTTCTCCCAAACATGTATGGTGCTGTATGCATGGAAAAAGTCTGTTCCTTACTGTGGAGTCGGCAGCCAAGATTTGCGAGGACTGCCAAAAGTATGGCTCATTTCTAAGCCACTGCAGTTCAGCACTCAACCTGTCCAAGCGGAGCATAACTGATTTTTGCATCCAACGTAGGAATGATAGGACAAGAGGAAATGGCCTTAACTTGCACCAGTGGAGTTTTGGGTTGGATACGGGGAAGAATTTCTTCTCAAAAAGAGTGGTGGGGCATTGGAGTAGGTGGCTAAGGGAGGTGGTGGAGTCACCATGCCTGGAGGTGTTTAAGGAAAGGACAGATGTTGTACTGAGGGACATGATTTAGTGGGCAATATTGGCAGTAAGTGGACACTTGGACTAGATGACCTTAGAGGTCTTTTCCAACCTTAATGATTCTGTGATTCTATGATTCTAAGGGTTGCTCCAGAGGAGAAGTGCTTCTTTCAAACATCACGTTGTATTCCCAGATTAGTTTGTTGCCTGCCAGTGGGAAATAGCTGCAGAATACATTCATCATTCGTTATCTGACATTCCTCCTTGTCAGTGCATCAGGGCTCAGAGCCAAATGACTGAAACTGGTCACAACTGAGAGAAAAGGGGATGATAAAGCTGCATGTGCCAGAAGAACTCTGCATTACTGGCCATGGAGGGGAGACACCTGAAAGCCAAGAACAGCTTCTGATGCAACCAACAGATCAGCTGAAAATGCACAAACAACATCCAAAATAGGACACATTTCAAAATCCAGACCTTTATTTTGGAAGAGCAATGGACCATGAACATTACATAGATCATCCAAAGGGAATTGTTTTTCCTAACAGGACAGGCCGCTTAGCTGTTGCATGAAAGCTGCCAGAGTCCTTTATTTATCTCAGCCCTGACACTGCCTGCATCCTGTACAGAAAATCGTACCATCAGAGATAACAACCCTACACCAAACTGCTCCTGGAGTCTGAAAGCGTCTTTTCTTTTGACCTGATTCCAGCTTTGGAGACTATTGGAAGGTTCAAGAATCTCCTGTTAGGAGAGGATTCCATCTCTATTTTTCCTTAGTAGTTCTTTGTCCTATGAAAGCTACAGATTAATTTGTGAACCAGATGAAATCTTGCCAGGGTTATTCCCTGACATAGGACAAACATACATAGGACAAAACTGGGGATTTGAGAACAACAGCTTTTTCCCCAAAGGGAAACTACCTGCCTTGCCCAATTCATTTCTCTGTGTTACTTTCCTCCAATTTATTGTTCATGAATCGCGCAGTACCTTTGCACTTCCTTTTCTTAGTCTAATCTGGCAAGACTGCAAGCTCTCTACGGTAAATGTCAAGTACAGAGCCAGCATTTTGCACAGGCTCTGATGGAGCCTTGGGGAGGAGCAGCAACTCAAATGAATCTACTGAGAAAGACACATAACAGAGGGAAAGAATTAATACACTTCTCAGAAAAATCTCCATTCCGGACTTCACACATCTTGTGCTTTTATAATCTGAAATACTATCTGTTTGCATTCAATCCTCTTTTCTAAACAATTCTATCTCCACAGAGTTGTTTGAGAACATGGTTATGTCAGATAAAACAACTGCTATGGATACAACCGCATATCACACACAACAAAACACAGAGATGGAAGATGGAACTCTCCTGCGGCAGTTCAAAGAAATGCAGTGAACACCGAGTCAGAAATGCTGAATGTTCTCAAATTCCATTGCCATTAATTTGTAAGAAATATCTTGGAGGATAAGGTTTCTGAAGTTTGCTTGCAGTTCAAAAAACACTATCAATAAGGTATACAGAAGAACACAAATGAGCTCTAAGAGCATTTTTGGCATCTCATTTTCTGTGGGTTTTTAATGTCAGATTGAGTTTCAGTTTTTTCTCAGAAGTTTCACCCTCGCCCTTTTCTATTCCATTAACTGCCTCTTTGTACTTCAGCTCCACTTCTCATCTCAGGGCTTCAGAATGTGTTACAAGTCTTAGCGCATTAAAACAAACCAATTTTGGAAGTAGATAAGTATCGTATAGGCATCACACAAGTCCAGACACAGTGATTAAATACCAGCAAGTCAGTCTCACAATAGATTAGCGGCAGTGCCAGAAACAGGATCCAGAATGCCCAACTCTTTCCTCTCAGCTTCCCTTTAAGTCAAGACAAAAGGCTTTGAAATAAGAAAGGGGCTAAAACAAAACATGCCAGACATCAAGCATCAGGATTATCTGGTTTACATGAGCAGGTTGAGCAAAGGCCCCTCCTATGAGATGCTCACAGTGCTCAGCACAGTGTGCTCTAAAGCAGAATGCTTAGTACTGAGACATGCTGTTGGATGCTGCACATATGGAAACGGTAAGTCAATTAAGATATCCCATTTAATTAAGTGCAACTGATTTCTTTTGAGACACGTAGCCAGAAATCCTGTCTTTAATCCTGTACAAAATTAGTATCTAACCACTGTTAACAATTTTGGTACTGCACAGTATGAGATATACTAAACATGTCATTGGCAGCTCTAAGCTGACCTGCAGCAGTATCTTAAATGTAATTGCTGAGAGTTTGGAAGAAGTTTCAGGATTTTACATCTAGATATAGCCACCCTTTATAATTTAATTTCTAAGAAAAGTATATAGAAAACCAGTAAGAGCCCAGCAGGACTGGGGAATTCCTGTCACTGCTTGTTCACACAGCCTCACTTTGCACACTGCAGAACTGCATGTTGCCTGGTAGCATCCCCTGAAACTTGATAAGCACATCCTCAGAGACAGAAAGGGTGATAAAACACCTAATTAGACAGAGACAAAAACATATTTGTTTGAACATAAATACATAACAGTCATCAACTGTCAATGCTTCTTTGATAAAGTGCCTCATCTTTCTCTCTCAGCCTCTAAGGGTTTTCCCAAGCCCTCAGGGAGCCTCAAATACTTTGTTATTCTGGGAAGACACCAAATCTTGAATTTTGTTACATCTGCATTTCCAGCTTGATCCATAATCCACAAGTAAGTTATCCAATGGTCATGCACAGGATTGAAAACGAGCTCAAATCTGAAGACAACACTACTGAAATTTGTCAGTAATGCACATACAGCAATCTGTAATAAATAACAAGTAACTAAACTTTCTAAAAAAAAAAAAAATGTGCCTGGGGCTTCTATTACTGCTTCCAACCTCAGTCCCCACACTAAGGCAACTGTCACTAAGGCAATTCTTCCTAGCAAACTGGGAACTAAACAGAGAAACAGGGAGATTAACGTGCACAGAAAAAAAGCTGTTTGATTTAAACACCCTCTAATGCAGAAGTACCCAACAGAGAGTTATTACAGGACCAGCACCTCAAAACCACTACCACGTACAGGAAAAACTGTTAGATAAAATATTCAAGGAATTTTGAAACAGATACTCTCGAAACAAACTTGAGGACATAAGGCTTCCTCCACGCATTCCACAACCTCCAGCTACAATTAACTTCTCCATATCTCAGATACTGTCAGAAAATATAGGACCCAATCTCTTCGTAATTATAAAAGTGAATTGGATTGACTATAGAATGAAATCTATCTTACTGAGGCTTATTCAGGATTTTCCACCTGCTCCCACTGAGAGTGATTAAAATGGGTTTTTAGAGCTGTCAACACAGATGCTGACAAAATGTTGCCTCCTACAACAGTGGCAAAGCAGGAGCAAAACTGCTGCGTATTTGATCAATCTTTCTTCATTTCCAGTAGAAGCCAGCAGACGAGAGTATCATCAATCAGTTTTATTTCCAGGTCATCTTTACTTCACACTTGTGTCTTGAAAGCAAGTCAAAATTCATCTGCAACTTCAACACCATCAAGTTATGCCTGAGAAATACGTGGTGTTTTTCATATGCAGATGCAAGAAGCTGTGTTATAACATAATGAAAATTTAAAGCTCAGGAAATAGTTCAGTACAGAAAAGCCTTCCTCACTACAGCAGGGGTATAGAACAATCCAGGAATGTATTTCTGGACTCCTGGAAGGAGTCCAGTGTTGCAGACAGTGGGTGGAGAAAAGGAACGGGGGAAAGGAGGTTATTAGGTCACCTAATCCGAGCCCCAGTGAACACCGCTAAGCTTCACTCTTCTTAACGCATCTTTTCTGGCACAGAATCTTATCACCTGCACAATTTAATTTTTTACTTCTGCTCAAACAAGTAACAGAGGTTTTTTTTATTATTTAGTTAATTATTGGAGAGTCCATTATCCAGGAATATTGGCAAATCAGTGACATATTACCTATCATTTTCCCTTTCGTTAGGGACATCTAGGATGTTTGAGCTCCCTCCAAACGTTTTGATCAGCTCTATCATTTGTTGCCTGGCCTTGTTTCTATTTCCTGGAAGAAGCTGAGTGTGGGAAGGCTGAAGTGCCCTTAAGGATAATCTGGCTAAAGATAACATCACTTTGCAGGCGTAACTTTTGTCCTGGAAGCTATTAAAGGCATGTTACCTCAAAGGGCCACCGGGGTGAGGCACACCCAGGAAATGGCTAGGAAGAAAAGGAGAGAGTGGCCACACTCTATGCTAAAATCACCTTGACTTTGGCTCTGACTTTTCCCCCTTTCTAATGTGAAATACATTCTTTGTACCGTGAAATTCTTTAGATATTAATGTCTAAGAGTTGATCATCCAAAAGTAAGCCAAACAGCAACCACTTTTATGTTAAGAAAGACAGCTACTTTCTCTACTACGTAAGACTTCAGAGAGCTTATTTATTCATCATGGCATCCATCTCTCACCATTTATTCCTAGCAGCCCTCTAGAATCCTCCATCTCAGCAGGAGGCATCAGGCATGGAGGTTCCCAATGTGCACATTAACACAACAGTGAACCAAGGACATTTCCATCTAACAGCACTTGAGGAACCTATCAATACAAATCATGTCTAGTTTGTTGCTGTTTGTTTGTTTGTTTTTTAAACCTGCTCTTCCAATCCCAGCTTGGATCCAGGAAAATGTTTTCATCATTAAAGAACAAATAACAAGAAACTAGAAATTTCATCATATATAATGAAAACGTTTGGAATACCAACTGTTTTCAGTTTCCCATTCAAACTGGGATCAGTTTCAAAAGATAGCTTCCAAATGGATATCTTCTTTCATCTACTGAGCTAACCACTCTCTCTTCTGTAGCAATTTATTGCAGATTTTCATAATTACCGGATCTCAGGATATATTTAGATAATAACCGCATTCACATTTAATTTTTTTTTTTTCCTCCTAGAAGATGAAGTGCTGCAAATGGAACAGACTCAAATCTGAAGCCTGTGGTTATAAGAAAATATACTGGGGAATACTTGTCCTACGTAAAAGTTCTATACTCTCCAGAAAACATCAGCATCTGTTCTCTCATTTCTTAGCATCTGCATTTATCCCACATACTTTTGCTTAACTTGCAAAACAACAGAATGTTCCAAGCAATTCAGAGCTTCATACCTTACTGCGAGTTTTTTTGAACCTAAGAAAATTCTTTTATATAGGTATACCTAGGATGGATTCTATCAACATCTAGGATGGATTCCAAAAGACATATATCTGATTAAAATAGCTTACATATCAATTCTGGTGTTTTAAATCATCGAGTTACCGAAGTCTGAAAGCATCTAAAACATCTCTTGGGTAGAAGAAGGCCTATTTTTGAACACTACTACCCCCAGGGCAATTAGATAAACTTCTGTAACAGCATATAGGACAGTTATGAAATTTTCCAAAGAAAGAAAACAGTCTTCTGGGATGACAGCAACACGAGAAATGTCAGACTAAACATACATTTTTGAGACGAGATGTAAGTAACTAAACAAAGCACCCAAGTGCCGTCTCATCCTTAAAGAGCATCTGCCCTGTTTTCTTTGGAAAGCCTAAGCTAAGCTCTACATCCCCATGATCAGCTCAGCAACTGCTACTCCACCTTCTTCCATAAATATACTTCACAGAAGCAGGAGAATGGGTTCATTGTTGACTCAGTAGTATCCATTCCGTCTCTTCAAATATTTTCCATTTGGTTTTTGTCGCTGTTTTGGGTTGTTTGCTTGGTTTTTGTTTGTTTGGGGTTTTAATTTTCTTTTCCTCCCCTTGTTTTCCTTTTGTATTTGAAGATACAATATGAAGTGCATATCCTAGTATTTCATGCTGCTGGCTATAAGCAGATGGTCAAATCATTACTGAACGGCTTTAATTGGTGCAGAGATGAGCACATATTAATTCATACTATTTTCAAAGTATCTCATGTGTTCTCACCGTTGTTACAGAAATTAGAGGAAAAGATCTACATTGCTTTCTGCCTTATGAGATGAAGCAACTAAGTCTAAAATATGAAAACTTGTATACAACCTGCTTTCTACACTACCCTAGTGGTGCGTGCCGCAAAGGAAATGGTCTATGCCAATGTTTCTCTTGACAAAACTGCTACCAAAATGATGAAGCAAGCTCTGTTTTTGGATGCATGGTGAAAAATACCTTAACATTCCTTAAAGCTTAACTCTAGCAATGAAGTTCCCAAACTCCTGCAAAGGCTAACTAGTTCACCTATTATGGAACTAACCAGTTTGTCAAGGGAATGAAACATCCACATTTCCCACAGACTTCTGTGCATATGTTAATGGATCAGTACCTCAAATATATTAAAGTCATTTACACACCCACTTATAATAGATTGTTTTAAAACTTGTCCTTAATACAGAACCAGTTATATTGTGAAGTTGAATTCTCTGTTTTCAATTTTATAAATAAATAGAAGTGATTTAGCATCCACATAAGATCTTCTGTGGATTATTTATTGGGTGACTGAAAGTGAGGATGGAATTACAAAGAAGTACATATGCCTGCTCATTTACCTTATCTGTAGGACAAAAGATCCTTTTAAATCTATTTAACAACTGCTACAAGTCCTAAATAATGCTAAAGACTCACAAAAGTGATGGATGTAAGTTAGAGACTGTGTAAGTCAGGATCCTAGAATAGCATATTCTGAAAAATAGACATTTTCTCTTTACAGGACTACAGGCAAAGAAGCATTTACACTCAGCAAGAGCATGGCTCAGCCCAAACCTACTTTTCTTCCTCATTTTCAAGCCATTTAATCTGCACAACAAAGGTTAAAAATAATCATACTTGACATAGTGTGTTACTTGGGGCTTTACTTACATATTTTCCTCTAGAGTAAATAATTTTCAGGTAAGTATAGGTTGAAATGCAAGGGAGGAGGAAGGGTGGTGGTGAAGAGAAAAATGCCTGAAAGATGTTAATTTTGTTTCACAAACAAAACTAGGGTGTCTTTAACACAAAGTGACTTTTGAGTTGGTGCTTTAGTCCAAAAGAAGAAACCCTTAGTTGTAGCAGAATTGGCATTTCACGCGTAGTTCTACAATCTACCGTTTAAACGTAACTATGCAGGCCAAATCAACCCATATGTTTCACAATCAGATGCTCAAAGGATAACTGACTTTCCATGCTCTCAGTTGCTAGTGGTGCAGTAGGGAGCATGAGAAGACATAAGACAGAATAATTCTCTAATGCAGACTCATCTGGTTTACCTTTGAGAACTGGAAAGCTCAGAACTATGATACAGCTCCACATGTTGGCCATGGGGATAACATAACAAAACAGTCTATCAGTGGTTTTGAGGAATGAAGGTCATTTCCTCGTGCCACTGTCCTGAGAGGAGAGAGCCATCCAGATGGAACATAAGACACTGGATTTGGCTACAAGGCTCCACGTTTCCTCCTTTCATGCCTTTCCATCGCTTCTAATGTCCCAGAAACACAGCTGCTGCTGTGCAAACAAGAGGAAACAAATCCTGCCAAAAAGCTTACCTGTTACACCAGATGCAAAGGCTATGCCTCCCTGTTCCTCAGTGTTGGCTTACACTTGCTCACGCTCTTCATCTCCCTCCTCTCCCCTCACAGATGTATTTCACTGCCCTGTTTACAGAGAACTTTGGCCTGCAACAAGGTACACTCCCAAATCAACAAAAATCCATGAAGCCACAACACTGACAGCATCTCTACAGCAAAACAGTAGAACATTCAGTATGGGGGTCCTTCACAGCTTTTCTACAGAAATATGTAATGCCGTCTGGGCAGCGTATGCCCTGCATGTTGAGCACACCACAATATGGCAGAAAAAAAAAACAAAAACACATTTAATTTAGCCTGTGTCTGCCAGAGCTTAACTGCCCTTGTAAGTCTCTGCAGTACTCTGCAGTTACACGTGCCATGCAGCTCCCCAAAACGTCTTTGGAAGACTATTCAAGCTTGCTAGATCTATTCATTTCACTCTCCCCCAAAAACTTATCCCCCACAGCATTGCTAACCTGGAGCTAATGGAAGGAGGAGGGAGGTGACAAAGAAAAACTCAGAAACCTGAAGGTTGTTTGGAATTTATTCCCTTGAACATTTCACACAATTGAACAAATAATGTCTTGATTTCACAGCAACAAGAAAACCAAGTATTACATAATTTAAGGAGACACACACCCAAAACAAAAACAGGTTAAAAACAACTGCATAAATAAAAATCTTCAACGAAGCTATACAACGGAGACATGAAGCCTTTCTGAGCACTAATTGTCTCACTTAAATATCAACTATCCCTACTTTATACAAACTCCCTCCATTTCTCTGAGGGAAACTTAATCTCCTCAGAATGGTTATTTCTTAGATTCTACTTTTCAAAACAAAACAAACAAACAAAAACAAAGCCCAAAAAATGAACCCACAGATGTTATAATTCTGTAATTAAAAAAAAAAAAATCCAACACCTTTACACAGCGTTCTTTTTCTAAGTTTAATGAAACTCTTAAAAGTGCCCAGAAAAATTCATATCACCCTTCAGAAATTACACATACAAGCAATAAACAAATATTTCAGTGGAACAAGTCTACAGGTCTGAAAGCTAGAGAGAAAGGTGGAAGAGGGAGGTCTTTTACTCCCAAGAAAAAGTGTTCTTAGCAGGATCCAGCCACGAGCACAAACCAACTTCGCTGCTATTTTGTAAACCCTTTCTCGGTCCCCAGATCGTTTTCTTGGGTTTTTCAGTGAAGCTCTATTAGGTCAGCTGCTTCTCAACCCCTTAGAACAAATAAACCAGCAATTCACGTCTTTGCTTTTCCAAATTTTCTGGGCTTCAAATTCTCTTTTCATTTACACCAAAGTCACCCAAATCCTGATAAGAACACCGACAAGGACCATGATGGACTGGGAACAGTCAAGCACATCCCCCAGGAGAGTTTCCTGGCTTGCTACTGAACAATGATTCACTGGGCACTGAACCTTGGTCCTAATCATGCAACCCACACGCTCTCCTCAGCTTCCAAAAATACAGGGGTCTGATTCTTAAGTTTACATTTTAAATATTCCAGCTCAGAAAAATAAATCTGGCATTAGATCTCCCTGGAGCCGTATGAGGCCCTGTGAAAGGGTTCGTTACCATGTGCCCTGTCCTGCAGAACACAACTCCACCGTGCCTCCAAACAGAAAACTTCAAGGCACGGTAGAAGAGGAACTACCTTTCGTCTCAGTTTGGTGGTGCATCTTGAAACATGATTTTTTAAAATTATTTTATTTTATTATTTCGTGGAGCAGAGGAGGAGGGGAAGGTGTATGGATGTGTCTGTAAATGCAGTTTAGCGGCTTCAAATGAAGGCACCACAAACTGAGCAGTATGCCACAGAATTAGCTTACTGTATTGTCGGTAATGCAGTGTTTATGACACAAAATTAAAACAAGTATGAAAAACAAATCTGAATAATAACAAAAAGGAGTGGCCAAGCGGAAGCCTTCGTGAAGATATGTTCATATGCACAAGTAAACTGTTTTGCTTTGAGATGAAATAGTTTCAGAAGGCACATTCAATGTATGTAGAACTGTAAAAGGACAACAACGATGAACAAGAAGCCAGTTTATATACAGAAATGCATACAAAAATGATTTGTACTTCCTTAGGCATAGAAATATGTGCAAATAATACTGTATGCATTCATAAAGATTTGTGTAAACTCAATGGACAGCCATGATCCTTTTGAAAAAGGGGCTCAGATAATTTACTTGAAAGGGCATAGCATTCAGAGGAAGCAACCACCACTTTCTAGATTACCTGGTCACCAAAAGAGCCCTCTCATGTAAGTGTCCACTTTTGCTTATTAAATGCAACACATTACATGTTTAAGAGTCTACCATAAATGGTTTGCTCATAACATTGCTCCCTGAAAATGTTTAAGGCACATCCATAAGAGGATTTCTGACCTTTCATATTGCACCCATCTCATATATAGGATATACTTTTGTGACTGTAAAGCAGGAGACCTAACACCTCTACTTCGTATTGAAATTTTCAGGTTTGCATACTACTTATAGTGAGTTTCTTACATTTTTTGCAGCTCAAGTAACTACTGCAAAGATCTCATGACTTGCATTTTATTGCTGAGAGTTTTTGAAGTAAGAGTTTCCCTAGCAGGTCTTTTCTTTATGAAATTCCTACTGCTGATAGGGTCGGAAATATACTGCTGTGAGAACACAAGCCTGGAATAGGAAACACAACAAAACATCACTACCTAAAGCTGCCCCAAAGAGCATTATGATAAAGCAAAGACTGTTCCAAGTCCATCTGTCAAGAAAGAGCTGAAAGTTTGAAAATGTGTTCTTACAGACCTTTAGAACAAACAGAAAAAAAAAGCATTTACATTAAAAGCACATTCAAATCATATAAAGTACTGTAAATAATATTCAAAAAAATCCAAGACACGGTGGTTACAGATTATGAAAGGGAGAGACAGTTGAGGAGCAAAGTGTTTTTTTCCCCATGGCAACAGCAGCAATTTTGGCACAAAGGCAAACGCAGAAGATAGAAAGAGGCAGACAGAGTACAGAGAAGAATTACAGAATCTAAGACAAAGCATGCCACAGTTGAGCAGAACCAAAAGCAAAGTACCAGCTTTCCCCAGCTTCCCTTCCCAGGAGAGAATGGCATCAACCACTCAAAAGCTTGTTGCCACTTCCCCATCGAAAGGGGCTGATCAGTACTGCAGGAGCCAGTTAGAACTTAACTCCCTGAAAACATCCCTGTGACACTACATAAGATGTCACGTGGGCTCCCTGGCAAACCAGGCAAGCCTTCGTACGAACGACGTTTCTAGAAGACTGCTAAAAAACTCAACTTGCTTCTCACAAGTTGTACCCTACAACTGCAGTCACTGCAATACAAGGGACAGACAGCCAGTGAGGGACTGACATCTTTAGCAAAGTTAATGCATGCCTGTCAGGTTAGTACGGCATCACAAGAAAGTGCTTGTTGGGACCAACTGTACCTAAGCTGACCAAAGCTGCTGAACGCCATTTTGAGTTCAAACAGATTTTAATTATTAATCTGGCTACAAAAAGAAGAGCACAGATTTGGTGGTAAAGGAGGTACTGAATGTAGGGGGAAAACCTGGAAAATTTACATTTGTTTGGGATTCTGTGGGCAACTAAGAAGCAGGCCTGCCACAACTTGTCGTAGTGGTCACTGAACGAGCTAATTCAGGACTGAATTTAACTCAGAGGGTACAAAACTTAAAACCAGGGGGCTTTTGTCTTGTGCACTGCTTAACTGATGTTTCTGCTCTACACCTTCTTTTTGCACTCTAAGCTATCTTGAGAACTCCATCACAAATTAAACCTACGCATTTCACACTCTTATTTCACTTAATCGTTTCAGAGGCAAATTACACTCCTCATCAACATCTGCCTCACTAGTAAGACTGACTCAGATCTCAAGGTATGAAATCACTACTGCCCAACCTCAGCCGCTGGTTCTTGCCTTAAAAGAGGCCAAAGAGTTTTCAGATATACAACCAGTTCATGGAAAGTCTACTGAACAGGTAAAGTTGGAGCGTGGGAAACTATCTCCAGATCAGAGAGCTTTTTGCTTAAGGTATTCTTGTATATTTCAGTGAAAGCAGAATGCCTATAGTTTCTCACCTAGAGAAGTTAATAAATTACAAGAAAGCATATATGCACATAGTTCAAAGTCAGTAGTTAAATAAAGATGCAATCTTAGAGACTCCCTCTGATTATTCAGAAATAGTATCTTATTCCTCCACTGTATCATGAAGTTTTGCAATTCAAAAGCTGAGGTTTTGTGGGTTTTTTTGTGTGGTTTTTTTTCAAGCCATACAAAACGGTAAACACACTGCAAGTTTCCTGATCTACTGTGCAAGAACTGGAGCTAAAGAGAGGTACTACAGCACATGACCGTTAAACTGACTAATGGAGAACTGGCCTGCCTTAATGACACCGCAGCTTGCTTTTCAAATATATGGCATTTAGCCTCCCCTCCTGCTTCTTAACCCTTGTTAATCCAGTAGTTTTAAAATATACTTACAACTTGCTTCATAAAGAAAATGAGATCTCAGCTATAAATAATACTTTCTAGCAGAAAAGGGGGGACAACAGAACCAGAAGGTAACTCTTCAACCGTTAAAGGTGTTTCAGTCATGCACACACAACATGTTACATTGCCTTAAAGATGAACTAGCTTCATCCAGCTGAATATGCCCTAATGATGTACTTTGCAGAGTACAAGAGCCAAAGCTTTAAAGCTCCAAAATATTTAAAAACAATGCTACAGTTAGGCACAGCAAACTGGAGACCTAGATTTCAAGCCTTGCTGTTTGATAAAATGGTGTCTGTTCTACTTTTCTTCTCTAGAAATATTACAGCTCTTGTAACTGTGCCATCGCAGGTGCCAACTATGTCACCAGTACATAAGGAGAGATGGAAATACCTGGCCTAACGTTTGTCCTACTTACTGATCACGTAGATGCTGTCTGCTGAAGGCTCATCTAGAAATGCAAATAATTAAATTTGATCTGTTGGAAGGACTAAATCAAGGAAAGGAGACCGACAGCAACAGTGCTGAAAAACTAACTGATATACACAGCTAAACTCTCTTTCTTCCACTTCTCATCACCAATAGCTTCAACCCACAAGTCACTTTTCCTATGATATAGTCTGTGAATTAACAGCTCCAAGAAATATCTTTTTCACACATCTTAAAAAATATGCTCTATATTAAAAAAATCATAAAACCAAAAACTCTTCACCTTTAGAGTAAGCAATTTTAAACCTAGCCTACAGTACAAAAAAATGCTGTCATTATCCCACCTGCCATTGCCTTTCTGGACCTGTCATTTTTCATTACATTTTTTCTCTCCTTCATTCTGCCATATGGAAATTCCACTCCACTAACAGACAAAACAGCGAGTGTAACTACATTTAAAGAGTCAACAACACACAGTAGGAATGACTTTCTGTGTTCAGTTACCATCTTAGAAATGCTTGTAAGAATATTATGTCAAATATAAGCATGATTTTTATCTGCCTGTATGTTTTTAATGTTTCTTCTCAATTAGCACTGTGAAGACATTCATTTCTAAATTTTTCCTCTAGGTATGTTCTCCCTCTAAAAGCACCTAATTTCCTGTTTTCTTAGCATTCTAGAACCAATATTAGAACTAAGTCTCTTTCTGACATCACCAAGTGAGCATGTAGGGGCTGGGCAAACGAGCATTTGTAGCAGAGTCACTTCTCCCATGTTAGAAGGAATTAGAATTTTAACTTAATAGGCAAAAATACTTCACAGTAAGACACACACATTCACTACCTCGTTCCCAAAGCCATGGCCAGGAGCAGCACAGAATCTGGCAGTAAGGGAAAAGCACCATGACCTGTCAGCACCACGAAATTCAAGAAGTTTAAGGAATCCCATCCCATTAGCTGTCACAGACACCCAGAATTCCAAAGGAGACACAATCCAGAGATAATGGGATCTTCCCATTCAAGTACCAGATTAGTGAACAGAAATTTGGGAGAATGAGAAACTACTCCCAAATTTCAGGCAAACACAGAAATCCAATTTTAGAATTATTCCAGTGTATCAGAACTTGTAACTTGAGTCAACATTGAAGTACATACAGTACAGACAAAGCCTCTTTATCTGGGTCCACTCAGAGGAGACCCTTAACTGAGGATCTGTGTTTTCCTGGAACTATTTCAGACAGTATCCTTTAAAGAAATGAGAATATCTAGGCCCCCAAAGCCACAATGCAAAATAACATATTGAGAACTTCACATAACACACAAAATTCACACGGCACCCCAATTCACACGAGTTGTACAGCTTATAAAGTTGGGTCACGTTAATTCTTAACGGTCAGCAGACTGGCCACAGAACTCCCCTAAGATCTGCACGAGAACTTCTGACTGGACATAGAGAAAGGGAACCCCAAAAGCCATCAGCTGACACATGAAAAAGGAGTCCAAAGGGTTCTGGGCTACCTGGTGCCCAATGCAGGAAACTGTGCTTTGCAGTCGCTGGCTTGCCACCCTAACTCTGTCAAAGAAGCCGAGAGAGTACTGCACCACCCTGCTAAAGAAGGAAGCGGAGCTACCTGGGGCCCTCTCTGCTGAGGAGGAGATGGAATTTGCCCGTCCACTTCCATCACTTGCCATAGTGTCCTGCAGAGGTCCTTTGGTGTCCTGGAAGAGTGAGGAAGTGAATTAAATCCATACTACAATTGCAAGCACTTAGAAAATACTCTTTTCATATGAGGTTGTATGTACTGAACACAATGAACTAGGAAGATATCCCTTCGGCAATTAAGATACCCCTTATTTATTGTATAAAGGCAAGGTCTGAACCAAACGCGTTCCTTCTCGATAGGCTTAAAACCCCAAAAAAACAAGCTAGATATCCAAGGTCAAAGCAGTAGGATCCCTGAAGTCTGCTCATCTGGGATACATAATATGTTTCACTTTTGGTCTTTCCTTTTGGCTGGAAGAATAGCACAAATTTTGAGATGGATCCCTAGCCTTTCCAAAAAGGTGCACAGCTCTAGCTTGTACTAACAAAACTTGACAAGCAAGCAGAAAGATCACCACCACCACTACCACAGAGGAAAACATCATCTGAGGGGGAAGGTCAGTTTGTAGCATTCAATCTTAACAGAACTTGAATGCAAAGAGACTACCACAGAGCTTGCTCACATTGAGAATGCAAAAATTCTGAAAAGTGAGTTGAGGAGACAAATTGAGTCTAATATGCCCTGGATTATAAGGACAAAAGCAGAGACACCTTTCTGTATTACATAGTAGGTCTTGGGCCTATGTTTAAAACACAAATGCTTCCATTACAATAATATAGGGAAAAGGATACCCTTTCTTTCCATACACTAACTGACAGCAAAAGTGCAGAAAAGACAGTACATCATCTTAATAGCCTACGCAAGCGAGTTAGAAATTCAAGTTTCAGAAGAAATGCAAATAATTTGTTTAATCTTAAGGAAAAGCAAAACCAGCAACATAAGTTATTTAGTCTTTACACGGACTAAATAAGCATTTCAGTATAACAAGAATACAAATCAAAATACTGTTCTGAGTGGATCAGTACATAATTTTACAGTAAGAACCATGAAAAGAGAAGTGATAATTGCAAGCTCTTAATGAAAATTTATAGAACTGTAGGACATTATGACATTACAATGCCATTTTGATGCATTCTGAATTTTTCTACCTTCACAAAAAGAAAAGCATATTTACTCCTTCAGTGTTAAGAATCAACATGCTAGACGAAAAGAATGAGTTACCTTTCCTGACACTGCTGGCCTCTTCCTTTGAGCATAACCGGAGAGTCGGTAACAGTAGTGGGGCTTACAGTAGAATTTACCTGCAGACAGAACATTAATGATGGTCGACAATGAGAACACACCACCTTAACACAATATAAGTGTCCATCTCACTGCAACTTATTTTCTGTTGTCCCTCCTTCCTCTAGTTTAATCAGTATGCACCGAGACAAGCACAATCTGAAGTTTTAACTCCAGCCCTCCTCTCTCCCCTGCCTAACTAGCTTCCCTTTCATTGGGTGCCTGACAGCCACTGAGAATAATATCCTATCAAACACCAAAGCAAAGCTGTGAGGCTTGTGTGGTATCACATGCTAACAATGCGGCAGTGTGTGAGGAACAAAGAAATCATCACATGAAAAGCTGGCAGAAGCACTTTTGGAAAAAGCAAGAATGAATACAAGCAGCAGAGGAAAGAGGGAGAGGAGGGCATTAACTCCCAGAGAACCATCTCCGAAAACAGATTGTAGTTACTTGCAGAAAGGGCAATCGAGCAATGAGTCATTTTCACAAGTAAGACCTGTTGTGACACTGATGTTTTAGTAACACTCCAGAAGTCTAGATGGGTTTTCACCAGCATCTGAACACTATCCTAAAGACAAAGCAGCACTAGCAATACCCCAGTGCAAATAACAGTAATAGGAGCAAACTGATGGCACGGTTATCTTCCCATGTTCTTTTGCTACCATATCCCGCGAAGTGTACACAGCCCACAGCATACCTTCTAATATCCTGTTCCTACAACCTTCCCAACACATTTCAAATCTATAGTCTGACTTTTGCTGCTTTCCTCAGTTTCTCTGAGCTGGTACTTGCACAATATATTCTAATGATTTGTTTTATGATAGAAAGGTGGCAAATACTATCTGTTGAGAACTGCCTGCTTAAATAAACATTTGTTAACATGGAGTCTTTCAAATTGTTTCGGGGGAAACATCTGACAAGAGATACAACAGCAAAACCCCTACATACTCAGGCTTTGAACCAGACACTGATTGTAGAACACTACAGGACACTCTCAGTCGGAAGAGCTAGATGAATAGCAACTACATGAATGTATTTTACTTTCTCTTTCAAAACAAATCCAGAATGAAACATGAGCTACATTTTCACAATTATTAGTGACAATAACGCACATTTCTATGTGGTCACATTTGGTATATATACATATGAAACTGTTAACCGTGTAACAGTTACTTCAGAATCAATGCTGCAGATGCGCTGAGACTCCAAGCTTTGTGCTTGTTTCACTGTGAGCTGTCTGGCCATAACTGTGTACATAAGCTGGCTGGCAGAAAGAATCGCTAAGTCTGGTGGCAAAAACTGCTTCAGCACATACAACAGACAGAAGGGCTCAGCTTGCTACTGCACATTTAATCAGGTACCCCATGACTTCTGAGTGCACAAAATAACAGCAGTGCTCTACAACTGCCTTGTCCCAGCTTTGATAATTGACCAAGCTGTTGATTTTATACACAGACTTCAAAATTATCACTGGCCCCTTTAAACTTCCAAGTCAAGTCCGCTGTCATTCTGAACAAGTAATAATGGGTTTTCTATTCCTTACTGGGTGCCTGGTTTGATGGTTCTGAGATTCCTCAATTCTTTGTGATCCAAGCCCATTACTAAAGGTCGCTATATAATTCATCTTCAATAGAAATATTATGTTGGTACTTTTTGCCCCATAAGCCTAGCTGATGTATCCATGGCCACTGTCAGTACTTTCAAAAATATTCAACCCAGTTACACAGATGTCTATCAATTTCAGAACTTTTCAGTCTGCAGAGAGTATTCTGGAGTTTCATCCTGTAGCATACAGCTTACAATTTTTACTTCATCTTTGACTCAATCAATGTGGAAAAATATCATTTGTAGCACTTTTTCCTGTTATTTTTATTTCTACATCATCATTTCTGGTGTAGAAGCCTCTCCATCTAATATCTCCCTAGTTTTACATAATTTTGTACATACTTTATTATTGATATCAGAGCAAAGATAAATGACAGCTGTGAAAGAAGGTAGAAGTTATACTTCTTGATATACATTAAGCTTTATCTGAGACACCTTACTTCTTCAGAAAATGTCAATTTTCTGCTAACAAGCAACAAATGTAACACTGCCACTCTTTGAAGGATGTTACTCTTCAGAAGTGACGTGCAATTTGAAATTATAATTTTCAACATGCTCATCTTTTGAGTGCTAACAAAAGTTTCAGCTGCTGCCACACTGTCTGGTTTCTCAGATCTGTTATACCTAACACTTCCCTTAATCCTTTGAATGCTGGACTCTGTTAAGAGTCATCAATAAATTTATTAATTTGGTAATCATATTTCTTGCTCCTCAGTCTATCAGACACAGAAAGAAAAATTACTGAACTTTCAGTAACTAATTCTTTCTCCATATATTTAGCATTGACCTATCCCTACTCCCATGTCCTATTTTTCCCCACTAAAATATAACTTAGTCTGTAATTATCAATTATCATAGCCCTTGATTATAAACTTCTTTTGTTGTATCTAAAATGTAAAGCTCTATTGCTGTGTTCTCTTAAAAAGTAAAAGCTGATTATGCCTGTCACCAACATGTTACGTTCTCTTAAATAAAGCCCAACTAAATTTAAAACTCAACTCATTTAAAACTAAAATGAGTTTCCTCATTTAAATGTAACCGAAGGAACAGTAAAGGATCTAGCCTTAAAGACAGCTGCCAAACCATTTTAAAGCCCTCAAATACTATTTGTTTCTTTCCATTCCAGCAGGTATTCTTAATTAACTCCTCACAGCTTTCAGCATTACCTGGCCACAGGAAACCCACAGAGCTTTAACAGTTTGAGAGGATATCTCTGGAACTGAAGTTACTCCGTCTCTTAACTCACCAAATAATTTGTAAGCAAACAGCGAGCTGTGAAATCACTTGACAAACCTCCAGGACAGCTAAGAGAATTCTTACAAAAAGGCAATTTCTCTTACCATCTTCAATATCATAGGCGTAAGATGACAACCGCAGAGTGGTGGCACAGTATTCACACTTGAAGCAACTGCGGTGGAAGAACTTGCCTTCAGCACTCAGCCTTTCCATCACATAGACTCGCTTGCGGCAGAAGTAACAGACATCACTGCCTCCCAGGTTCTGGGGGAACTCCTTTTTGAGCGAGCCCTAGACAGATATAGGCGTGATTAAATTTGTGTGTGTCCATTCTCACCAAGACCGCATGGTCCTATTTTCCCTTCATCTTTGCAGGTATGGGAGCGTCTGGATGCTGCTGTTCTTTGACACATGGATGCTGCAGCGCTGTGACACAATTCAGTTTTAGCCAGGAAACCAAAAACTAACCTTGAAGTCCAGTGAAGAAGGTCCTAGGATGTCATGCCTATGTATGTGAGGAGTAAATTAGGCTCTGGATGGAAAAGTGGACACAAGTACTATTAACAATGACCTTGAAATAAATGACTGAGGGAGGCATATGATAGAAAGGCAAAATCATTAAGAGACCCTTCAAACTGCAATTCTTAGACCAAAACCTTACTCCTCTAGTAAACAACAATGTTGAAGTAGCCACAGTGGAACAAATACATCTTCACAAATACGACCACCAGTTTGTCAACTGGTTGCAGCTAATCCTTGAGTGCTGAGATTAGATTCAGCAATTTTGCAAGGAAAATGAGGACAAGAGAGAGGGTGGATGGAGAAAGGGAAGTTAAGTCTTTTACAAAGCTACTATGGATCCACCAGCTGTACTAGCAACTCACAATACTTCAGATCTACAGTACATCTAATCACAAACACACATCATCTTCTGCACATCATCTTACCAGTTCCTTCTTGTCTAGAAGGGTTTTGGGTTGCTCTTTCCTTTGAAGCTGATTGGCTATCTGCTCAGCCAATGAGCTCACTCCGCCTGTGTACATCTTTATATACTTCTACCAGATGGATGGAGTAAAACAAAAGGGAAGTGAGAAAAGAAAAAGAAATAAAATTATAAAAATGACTAAAATGATAACAGGTTAGGTGGTGAAAAGGTGCAGAGAGGTGAAACCATGCCAAGACAGTGGACAATATGGAGTGACAAGTAGTAACAGCAGCGCTAGTGCCATCAGTAATCATTGGAACAGTCCAATATCAACTGCAACTATGAAAAAGAAGGTTTGCATTTTGCATTACCTAAGTGCTCTAGAAATGCTATGATGATGAAGAAAGCCAAGTTTTTTCTTGCTTATGGGGTACTTTGCACCTGGAAACCTGAACAGATTCACTTCTCAAAGATGAAACCAAATATAGACAAAGATTTGAGGTTCCAGGTAAAATTGGCATCACAATCAAAGACATTTTGGAAGACATGTCATAGAGTCTAATGTAACATGCTGATTGCAACAGTTTATTTATATGATTAGCATCTGAAAAGAATTCATTTGAAGTGCATTCACAGAGTAGGAAGAAATCCTTAACTCAGGAACTCACAGTCATTCAAAACTATCATTTTTCCAAAGCTAAAAATATATAGGAAGTTTATATGGAAAATGATGGCAAGAATCTCATCCAACACTTTAAAGCCATACCTGCAAACATCTGGAACATGTATTCACTCAACACTGAACATGGCTTTATGACTCGGCTTTTCTCCATCATGGGTATTGACTGATGCAATGACTGTGGATAGCTAAAGTCCCTCCAGTATTCTGAGAAACCTAGGCATGTTGGCAGTTACACTAGACGGTCTAAAATGAGTGTTTGCAAGCCATGTTCAGTCACTGCAGGAGCAGAGGAAGTGATTTTCAACGGAAATAATTTCAGCCATCATCAATAATTACATGGTTAAGAGAATTATGTGCTTACATCTGTGTTAGCTTAATCACACTGCAAACACCACGAATTTGACTCAGCAGAGCAGCAAAGAGCACGCCAAGCAATTTTCCTTTTCCAAACTAAGAAGCACTATGAATATTTCTAGCTGGAGTCTCCTCAGGAAATGAAGGAGCAGAAAGACACTGCCTTCTGGCAAGTGCAAAATCACCAGGATAGAAGTATCTTGAAGGAAAAGACTGAACTCTTCTCTCAAAATTCCCACTACCATACCAGAACTAGTTATTTCCCATAAGTAACAATTCAGTATATGTTTCACAAGTGTGGTTATTAGCCTTTCAGAAATGTTTAAGACCTTCACATATTCAGACATGAGAAAAGCAGGAAGCATCATAAAAATCTGAAATCCATCACCAGAATGGTATTTCAGGGGGACAAGGGTCTGAAAATGGCATGCTTGGCCATCAGATTGTAGTTGCTATCACTGAAGTCCTAATTCCTCAAGAGCTATGTCACTACAATATAGGAGGTTTATTTCTGCCCACAAAGAATTTATACTCACTCCTTTTACATACTTGTCTGCTAAATCCAGCCCAAAATATTGAGCACTTGCAGTATTTACGTATGCAAGTAACAACACAATTTGTCTTTCAGAATTTTCAAGCTTTTCCAAGGGCAGCAAGTGCTTTCAACAGACATTTTCTTTCAGCTGGAACTGCATTTCAACTATACGGGTTCCTCACCCAACCTTAACTGCAGGTGTTTCAGGATCTTTCAATTTCTATCAGCACATCTGCCCGAAAACTGATTATTCTAATCTTAACTCACAACATCTGAGACTATTTCGTGTGGGAAATGTAATTGCTCAAGTCTTGATTTTAGGTTCTGTGGTTCTGATTTCTCTACCTACACATGGCAACTGGTCTAATATTGGATTTTAAATGGAGCACTTTAACTTTCCTTGGGCAAATGTCTTCAAGATATGCAATGTTCTGAACCATTTTCAGCAGTGAGCAAAGAACCACTTTAGCTTAGGTCAAATCAAACTCCTTTTGTTTTCCAGCATGGCAACTGCAACTAGATGAAATTCCTAGTGATTTTTCAGAAAGCCAAAGTATTCTGTATTTCATACTATAGATGAAGCATATACACACAAGCCCATTCTGTAGTTTGGCCGAGAATCTCAACGAAAGCAGCAAGCAAAACAAGAAAGCTTTATTCCAAAGCTAGACTATTAGTGCTCAAAAAAAAAAAAAAAAAAACCCACAACAAACAATTTGAGAGCAAGATAAACCAGAAGCTTTTTACATTTGCACCAAAAGTTACATATATTTAGTTTCAAACTGCTTTATGGTTGACAACAAGCTATGCCACAGGCTGCTTGCATCTCAGTTGTGCATGAATATGCACAGACATTGCATTTTGCAGGTGAAGTGTTGCAAGCCTAGCCATCTCTTGTGTTTTGTCCTTGGCCAATGGGCCCAGGGGGGGTAAGTGACACAGCCGAGTGCACCTAGCAATGCTCAGGCCAATGCTACCTGTCGAAGAGAGTCAGATGAAGGTGAAGAAGGGCGATTAGAAGAACGGAGGCTAAGGGAGAGCTCCCACTGGTCAACAAAGAATCGGCGAGACGGTTCAGTCTCAGGCTAAAAAATAAAATAAGAGTCACAACAATCATACATAGATATGAAGGAAAGCCAGGTGAAAATAAAAACAAAAATTCAGGCTCTTCTGCCCACCACAAAAATAAAAATAAAAATTCTTAATGACATTTGTAGGACAACTTGAAAAAAAAAAAAAAAAAAGGTCCAGTGCATCTTCAATTTCTCCCTAGCGAGGCAGAGTATGTTATTCTTAATTTGTCCTTTATTATGTTTTAAGTCACTGAGGGCCATTTGGAAACAGTTACCTACTTCCACAGATGTCCAGCCTTCTGTAACCCAACCAACTAAGCCACTGGCACAGATCCCAGATCAATTTCCTCTGTTGCTCCTGTATCTCCTGTTGTTCCGTATTACTGGCTCAAGACACTAGGATTCTATTTCAGGCCACATGAGACCTCTTCTACATTTTAACTATAAATGCAAAAAAAAAAAAAAAAAGATCCTGCTCTCCTTCCAGGTGGGAGAAATTAACTTGTAACTGTTGCCAACAAGCAGCACCACATTTCCAGTATAAAATTTAATGCAGCAGATTTGAAACACCACAGTAAAAATAATTAAACAATATAATGCAATCTGCTATTTTTGCTTATCAAGTGGCAAAGAGCAAATCTCTAACTGAGAATATGCATCCTTCTGAAATGGGCCCTTCACAGGAGGAAGAAGGTATGGGCTCCCAACATACCCTTTTCATTACCTTTATGGCTAACTAATGCCCACCTTCAAACACACTTAATTTAAACAGGAAAAAAAAAAAACAAGGTAGCGAGGTGTATCAGACAGTACTGGTAGGAACTGTGTATTCCTTAGAATTACTATCTGGAGAAAAAAATACATAAATTTCAAATATTTGACTTTCTTTTAAAAGACAATTATTTTTTGCATTACAAAAAGGACAAAAATAAATGTCATGAAGCTACTGGACTCACAAAAACAGTAATTTGTAGCCGCTTAGAAAAAACTAGCTTGTTGATTAAACCTATTGAGCACAATAAAAACTAGGTGGGTTTTCAGAAATATAACAGTATATTAAAACACTGATCACAGAATCTGTGATTCTGCGATTTTTTGTACTTAAGATCATCAATATTTAATCAAATTGCTTTTCTGAAAATGTATTACTTTACCTGAGCTTTCTCTTAGTACTCTACTTTTTCTCGATTTCTTTCCCTAAATCCCACACTATAATCTGTCATTGTTTGCAGTGTTCCAACATCCGTTTCCATCTTCATCTCTGCCTCACTCTTTTTCCTTTCCTCTACTTTGTGTTCTCCATCTTCACTATATTTTCTCTCCTCCTTAATTCTACACTGTACAGAATTAAGGTTTTTTTTCTCTGCAATGCAATACTGTTAATTTTTTCCACCCTCAAAAAGAGCCTGAAAGTGCAAGATAGCAGGAAGAAGGTAGGAAGTAGGTGTCAGGGTCCAGATGCTAACTTCTGTACCATTATTTCTACACAATAATGAAACACATACAAGCATGCTATCCTCAGATCATGCCCGAGATCTTCAGTTGTGTCACCCATTAACAAATAGATACTGGTATGTTTAAAGCAGTCTCCTTACCCACACTTACATGGTTTCTTCTATGTCTGCGACATCCTATCTGAAATCCAGCCAAAGGTTCACTCTTCCTGGAGAACAGCTTTGCTTATTTTAATCATCACATCAGCAAAGACTGCATCCCCAAAGAACAGTAGTTAAAAGTGACTTATTTGTTACACGTTTCCCTTTGAGATGGCTTGGAAAAGTTATATCCACCAGTAAAAGTTATAGGACTGTTTATACTCCTGCTCAAGAAGACAGTTTAATTTTGCATAGTTAAATCAAAACCATAAATTCTGCAAAAAAAAAATAATCACTTAAGTTGAGATTGTTTTCTAAAAGTACTCTCCAGTTTGCCAAAGGCTGCTGAAGATAACCAAAAACAGAAATGGGGCAAGGAATGTGAACAAAAGAAGCCACCATTGAAATTGGCACACTCCCACATGCCAGAGAAGACAAACAGGAGAAAAAATTAAGCACAAAAAAATAATCCAAAAGTGTACAGCCGAATCAAAGAAAATCGGCACAAGCCACCAACTCTGTTGTTGGAAATAATAATACAGAAGTACGGGCACAGAAGTCGTACTTCAGAGCCAGGAATTATGCTTGGAAAATGCACATGTTCTTGCTTCCAGCAGCAAGTAAAACTGGGGAGCAACTGACTGGTAAACGAGCACTGAGAGATGATTTGATCTGGAGTCCAGCTCGTTTTCAGCATGTGCTCTGAAGCTCGGAGGCTGCTTTCTACCCTATTGCTTACACTGCTTTTTACCCTATTGATTACAAGAATGAATTGATAACGGAAGCATTCATCAGGGAGACTATTAAAAGCTGTCTAGTCTGATAAAAAATACTACACAAAATAAACTTGCTCTTTCGTTTTTATCCACGGGACTGTGTGCAGCAATGGTCCCTGTATTTCGGTGAGCTCTTCTAGCCGTGTGACCCCAGATGCCAGCAGTACCCACACTGACCCACTGGTACAGCAGCTCATAGACAGCGGGGCTGTAGTCACCTGATGCCTCGCTGCACGCCTGGGCTCCAGGAGGGCAGCCAGCTGACATGCCCTTTGTTCAACATTCTCAGGCACTTGGTCATCAGAAAATAAACGAGGAGATCTCTGTGAGATAAGGAAGGAGGGAGGAAGTAAATAAACCAGAGGGAAAAAAAAAAAAAATAAGAAGTCCCAAAAGGAAAGCCAGACAAAAGGTATGAAATTCACATGCAGAGCAGTGAAAGAAGCTCCCCTCTGAAGACTGTTTTCATTTCTATTGTGTACTGGATTACTATTCTATTGAAGTGCTAAATGTTGACCTTCCAGGCCAGAAGAAAAAAACAGCTGAATTAGACCTTATTCACAGCGCTCCCACTGCTGCAGCAAGCACAGAGCCGCTGTCTGGCATTACCATCCGAAGAACTCCCACCCCTCTACATCAAGATGTGGCTTTATCATGCACAAAGGAACTGATTCACCAACTCATTCCATTACAGTTCTTTTTTTGTCAAGGATTTCCTTTACACATCTAAATCCGCATGTATTTGTGTTTCTCAGATCTTCTGCACAGAAGCACATATTTTTAGGGTAATGGATTTCAGTTTTCATAAAGAATGAATTAGTCTCCTTAAAGATGCTGGTAGTATGTCAAAAGAGATTGCCGTACTTACCAAGGAGAGGATGGTTAACGAGAGTGGCTGGTGGATGCAAAGCATAGCAAAATCAAACTACCACAGAAGTTTCAATGCTGCTTCTGCACTTGTCTGAATTGCCATGTCAGCACACCCCAGGCACAACATTTCACACCTCTGCTATTCTGGTCCTTCGTACCAGTCTTGCTAACATGGAAAAAAGACCTGGCTTGGGGCTGCTGTACAGAGCAGGAGTATTACTTGCAACACCAGGTAACCTTCAGCTAATATGTTTGTAGCATTCAAAAGCAAATGGAGCAGGATTTACAAGCCAGTGTGAAGAAACCTCAGGCTTGATCTGTCAAAAAAGCCAGAGTGCTGCTACGTGTTGTTAACTGTTCTTCAAAGCGGAACAGAAAACTGGGTTCACACCCAATCAGTGAGAAACGCATTTCCCATTCAAATACATTAATAATACTCTCTATTTTCAGCTGCTTTCAGTTCCACCTACTCCTCTCTACTAGATCATTTTCACTCAAACTAGGGCCTATTATAAAGCTGTGGGTTCTGTGTCGCTGCAGACACACGCTCATTCATTTTCCACTGCCTGTCAGAAAACATTCGGCCCACAAGTGCCTTTTGTGTAGAACACATTTCTGAAGTTGTAACAGTTTCATAGCTGGCTATCATTTATGACTTCATTCATTAAAAGCCTTTACTGGAATGTCAATTTATTTGCCAATATGAATTCAAATCAGCTCGTTCTTTTGAATGCTTCTCTCTCCTTCTCCCATGCTTCTGCATAATACTGAACTGCTTAGACAGCCCGTTGAATATTCCATTAATAAGAAGGCTTCAAAGTCTCCATACTACATAATGCCTCATCTTTGGCCTGTAGGAGGCAGGATGGAATGCCAGTTGTTCAACCATCCAGAAAGCAAGCAGCGAACACAATGCAACTGTGTTCGCATGAATTAGCACAAAACATAATTCTTCTTGTTCTGCTACAGCCATAGCATACTCCAATAAAGAGGTGTAAGAGATAAAGAATGGGAAGAGCTCAAGTGCCAAATAATGGCAAAATAAAAGCGTATAGCAAACTGCTGATGAAGGCTTGTTATGCATTTATGTGGACATCACACAGAAATAGTCACTCCTAATTGCAGTTGCAGCGTGTTAACAGCAGCGTTAGGTAAGTGTGTTTCACTACGTGGTACATTTGCCTCCTGAATTGCACACATCCAATACGGCATTGTGTCATCAGCATCCATGCCATTTGTTCATGCTGTTTACCCTTTCCTGTCTGGGACTCTGCTCCCCAGGATATCCAGCACCAGGATCCCTGTATCTCTGCAGGCAACAAATTATGAGCTTAATAACAATCACAGACCAATTTCCTAGTCAAATAGACTTCATCTTACTTTGTTGACAATGTGAGCAGCAAAGAAGTCATAATGAAAGATAAGTATTTTATTAAGAAGAATATTCTAAAACTGACAAAAATAATTTTGGCTCCCATAGGGAAGATTTAAGTCTCTATATATTCATATTAACTCATTTAACCACAGTTAGTGCAATAAAGATAGTAAGATACTCAATACAACTCATATTGTGATGTTAGCTCAAAAGAAGTAAATAAAAGATTAAAAGAAGTGGCAGAAAGACTCCATTAGCAGTGCAGAGAGAGAGAGTTTTTAAAAGACACCTGAGTAAGAAGGACAAAGATCCACCTGACTTGTCATGAGGCCTTGGGCCAAGACAACTTCAGAGAAATAATAAAGGGAAAAAAATCTCTCCAAAGGCAAAGGCATCAACTGGCTGTACTGGATTAGCTCTGTAGCACAGGATGCATATATTCCTCAGAATTAAAAGGAGGAAACTTTTTTTTTTTTAAGCAAAGAGGCACACAAAAATTTTCCTATGGGACACAACACAGAAAATAGTGAAAACATACTTGGACCCCAGCAGCAGTAAATTCTCATGACTGAACTAGGCAAGTGAAAGACAGGACAAACAAAACACTTGGAGAAGAGAGGGAGGGGAGACAGCTAAAGGCTCAGTTACTGAAAGCTCCTTTTTTCATGTGGAAAATGATTGCCCTCTAATAGTTTGAAAGGTAAATTTCACCACTGCCTTCACTTTTCTATCTGCAAACTTAGGGAAAAACTGTTGTTTTCTCATAAAATCTTAAAAAGACTTTGACAAGAGGAAGACTGCTAGCTACCACAATATCTAATAATACAATTCCCCATTACAGTCAATCCAGCTTAGCTGTGGATTTTGCCCATTCTACCCAGATGTGCACCCCTGAACCCTTCCTTGCACCACACTGTCCACAGGGTGCCAAAAAAATAATTTTTTTTTTTTTGTTAAGACAGTTTTAAATCAGATCAACGAGCAGCCCTGATTCGTCTTGCGGGTGCACAGTCTGATACAGGAGAGGTGGCAGAGTACTTATGGGTCAGAAAGAAATGACCCTTCTCTACTTTCCTTAAAGGTGACGTGTGTTTATAGGGTTGATAGGCAAACAGAAAAGAAACATTATCAATCTCCAGAGAAATTTACTTGTGTAATGTCTACTGAATGTATGGGATGTCTTGGGAACTGCAGCTGCCTTTTTATCACCTAAAGATTAGTTCAAGGTTGAGGAAGGAGTGGGATTTATTACTGCAGTAGGAAAATGAAACAAAAATAGATACAACTGAAAGAAGCAGGATGACTGTGTACAACAAACAAACAGGCATTTAAAGATTTCAGGTAATATTTAACTAGAAAGACAAATACACGTGTACACACGGCTGCACATGTATATGCTGTGTGCAGAATAAGGCTTACACTGAATCCAGACTAAGACAGACAGAACGCAAAGTCTTCTTGAGACAAAGGACTGAATGTGGGGGAAACAGAAGGATCACATCAGGCATATGCACAACAGTTCAAAAAAGCACTTCATACAAGTAAACTTAAAAGACTTCCATGGATAAAAGAGGAAATTCTCACTCACACTTGTATAAACAAAAAGCAGAGATGGAGAAAACTTGCAGTTTCCATCTCTGAATTACTCCAAAAAGATTTAACTTCTGTGTAGAAAAAAGGAATTTTTGCTAAGACAGAAGCAATCCGTTGAATTTCTAAGCAGCATGTATACACTTTAAGGGTAGACTTGACCCTTCAATTTCACTTGTACTTTTGCTTCAAGTCAAAACTGAAGAAGGCTACTGTGATTACCAATTACCCTACAATGAAATCTCAGAATCTCCAGTGCATCAGATAATAGTGAGATCACACTATAAAGTGTGTCTAATATAAGAGTTTGATGAAGCCTTATCTACATACGAGAAAAGGAAAATTGGAAATGTATTTATAAATGGGATCTCTGGTAATTGATTTAGTCACTTGTACAAGCAGTAATGAAGAGAGAGGGACAGAGCATGCAGAGGGAATCACCTGCAGTCTGGGATACGATGGAGAGGAAGGTGGAGTGGAAGAAGAGAGCATGATCACTTTTTTGGGGCAGGTCCGACAACGTTCCTTACTCCTCATCTTTTTTTAAAAAAGAAAAAGAAATAAAAAATCGTAATAATGGCAGGAAAGCTAACATTTCCATTCATTGACTCTGGGAGGACAGGCCAGAATGCATAAGCTGAGAGACTGCAATCTTCTGCTCATACCTCTTACCAATGATCTAAAGCCAGTTTTACCAAAGTTGAAAGAGGTAAATTTTTCTCCTGTATTCACACAATCACGTCTGTTTGGCAGAATCTTCTGCAGACAGCCAATAAACGTGTAGTTACAGCAATAACCAACTAAACCAACTGTTTCTGACTCACAGACAAATGTACAACTTGGAACTCTCAACAGTGGAATTGGACTGCACTTTTTGCTTCACAAAAAAACTACTTATTGCTGTGCTCTGCAGAGTTTAAAAATATCCGCTGTGTTGACTTAATTAGTCTGCTTGCAGTTCATTAGCAACATAATTCAAGTCACAGTGCTCTGTTCTCAGCTTCAAATCCATCTTCTCTGCCTTACAGACATTAAACCATCTCAGGTAAACTGAACTGCGCTTTGCCATCCTACTAGAACAGAAATATTGCTGCTTTAAAGGCAATATGTACACAGCTAGTAATTTGAAGACTGCACAATGCAGGTATGTCCTCATTTTTTTACACCATAAGAACATGCCTTCATAGTTCTTTATGTCATTCTTATGGATAGTCTTTTAACACATCTTCTGCCTATTCTTTCTGCCAGAGCAAATCTGGTAACTGTTGCACTGAAAAAAACAAAAACAAACAAAAAAAAAACTTGTGTACCTGGAACCACTGTTACATAGCTTTTAAAGAAACAGCATGCTGTCTAAAAATATATGGATGTTCATTATGGTCCTGACAGCTGAGCTGGCATGAACATCTTTTGGGTGTTCTCTTCCCCTTCAGCAAAAAAGTAAATTCTAATTCAAACAGATGCTACAAGCAGCTTAAAACTAAGCCACGTGACTTTGCACTGAAGTGGATGAGGAACATTTATACGCTCAGCCTTGAAGGCACTAATTTCAAGCAGAAAGGCTGGCAACATTTTCAACCACTACAGCTGTTTGTAGACTGTCATCTAACAACAGCCTAGTTTGCATTTCAGATTTCAGTATATTCACAAGGTTGTGTAATTTTCCACAACAGATCATAGTATATAGCATTATACAGGATGGAAGATCCATTCCTGAGCATGCAAATACAAAGATGGCTATAGGAATGAGGAAACAAAAACATATCAACATATTCAAATGAGAAATTATTTAGGAAAAACAGTATTGGTAATGTAAGCTCTCTTCTGCTGAGATTTCAGCTCCAGCTGACTGTGGCCATTTCATTCACTACGTCTTCAAAGATCACAATTATAACAGAGTCACTGAGAAGCGTTTTTACTGCTGTGCTTTTATCGTATTTCAGGGAACCACCTCAAAAGAACAAGCATCAGACCTCCAGAGGCAGAAGAGATCTGCATTATACAGCATGCGGTTTCTGTCTTACAAGCAACACATCAGATGTCTTTGCACACATCAGTGATTTCAGCTTGTGCATTACACTCTTCTTGTTGTGAGGACATCTCTGAAACTGGCAGAAAATTGCTGAAAACTGGAAAATTAGGACAAAATTCAGTTTAATGGGCTAATTTCCCATACCATACCCAAGCAGTCATATATTCTTCTGGATAGACTACATGGCTTCATGATCCCAGATGAGAAGCTCAAAAAACATGACTGCCCAAAAGCAGTAAAAACGGAAAGCAATAGTACACAATATGGAAGAAATTTCTGTACAGCAAGGAGTTAATTTGAGATTAACCACCATACCATAAAACACAATCCAGACTTTATATGAACATATATCCCTTAAAAAAACTTCCTCAGATTTCTACTGTGCACGTGGACAAACACTATCTCAATTCATTACTAGGTGCTGCTGAGGTACTCCTAGTACAAGTGAACAAGCTTTGACAATACAGATGAACATTCCCAATGTATAGTTCAACAAAGAAAATACTGCAGTCCAATTCACAAGGAAAATGCAGGCCACACTGAATGCACTGAAGCAGACTGAAGAGGTTTCTAATGTTTCAAGGTTATGCCTTTGAAAGAGAGATAGCAAGAAAGTCTTGTGATGAAAGTAAAAACTCCTTCAGAATAGATTCTGCCAGGACTTTTAACAGAATTTTGTTGTACCAAGCCACCCTATCCTAGTTCTACAAAACACCCAGAAACACTCTCCATTATGATCTGATTGCATTGCTGGTCTGATAACTCTTTTAACTCTAAAGCAAAGCAAGATCTTAGACTTACTGATAAGCAAGTACAGCTAAGAAAATTCATCTGTCAGCCATTGGCAGATCATAGCCCACGGCAGGTGCAAATCCTTCATCAAAACAGGTGATCCAAGATGCAGGACCAAACCTATCAATCACAGCATAGGAAACTGCCCTTCTCCCAAGAACCCCTTAGGACCTCAACATCACCCCGCCTGTGGCCAAGAATATTAGGCAATTAGTTGTTTCCCTCAAAGGCAGGTCACTACTTTGTCTCCTTGAAAACCACTTTGCTCCTCTTCAAAAGACTCCTCAATAGAAGGCTTCCACTATGTGATACGTTATGCGGACTCACTGAAGGAAGATTCTGCTTCTGAACTCTTGATACCTGTGCCAAACAAGAGAACCCTCTCCCAGACCTTCATGAGCAGCTCTTCCTAAATCAGCTCTTTACAGCAAACACAAATGTTTCCTGAAGAGTTTGTCAGGAGCCATACCACTCCATTACAGCATCTCCACAACACGGTACAGGCATCCAGCACCAATTCCACTGCTGGTGATCTGTGGTGCAGGGAATAGCTTTGTAACTAGTGCTTAATGTTACCATAGAAGGCTGTTCCAGTACTGTAGTAACGCAGTCTCACAGCTATCAGATTCCACATGCCTAAGCAACTAGAATTAGCACTCTCAGCAGTCAGCTGAAGCACTGCTTCAACAACAACTTCCTGCAGGATGGATGTCTGTACCAACTTAGCAAAACTGGCTATTTGGTTCACTGGATGGCTTCTAGCCTCTCCTGATCTCCCATGAATCCAGAATAAATAGTTCGAAAGGCTTTTGGATAGAGACAAGCGATGTTCTTCATTTCCCCAAAAGTCCTAAGGAACCTCTGGAATAGGGACATGAACTGTTTCTTCGATCCTAATTTTGCAGACTGTGCACCTTGGAGATCCACTTTTACTCTTTTACATTTCACTGTCAGATGAAAACCACTGCAAAATCCAGCATGAACTCTGCACCAAGAATCAACCAACTTCTGTTGACACAGTAGAGCTCACTGAGGTAAGATTAAGCAAATACTTCAGACGCAATCGTGAGTGGAAAAGCACCCAAAGACAGCTGACAATGTCCTGTTAAATAAAAAAAAGTTCTTGGAAAGTACAATAATTAAATAGTTTTTTTCAAGGATCTGCCCTACATTGCCATGTACATGGAGATGGCTATCAATGTTGAGGGAGACCAGAGGACTTCTTTCGCTCCTGTTCAATAAATTGTATAGTTCCAAACAAGAACAAAAACAAGAATAAACTACTTTTGAGAAGAAAATCATCATCATAAAAATGAGAAACAGAAGTTTGTCCTTTTTGATCAGTTACAAAAGGAAGACAATAAGAACTTCTGTGTTTCATCATAAAGACTAGATTACAAGGCCTTCATAAAGTTTCAACAGTAGGTTCAAAGACAACTCTCGAGGCTGCAGGGATGGGATCTTCCCCAAGTACAAAAGCACAAATCTTAATTCATCTGAACTGAGAAATACCACCAATGCAATTCAGTTTTCCTTTTATTGTAAAGTAGAGGGCACCACAAGCAGTGCTCATCAACTATACCGGTATTGTACAGCTGTCTACAAATCTTCTCCACCATTTCTCCCCTATATGGAGATGCACTCTTAAAATCTGAAATCTGTCTTAATCATGGATGATGAGCCACTTGAAAATACTCATTAGATTATAAAGGAAATTTTGAAGAGAAGGTAGAAGAATAACCAAGTCAGGAAAACTAAACATAATGTCAACATTTTTAAGACAGTCCTAATGACAACAATTCTCCTGCTTTGAGTCTTCTTTGGAAAAAAATCATCTAGATGATAGCCACTGAAAAGAAATCTTGGCACTGGCCATGACGTGAAGCACTACTTGCACTGAATACCTTAAGCATAAAGTATATCATGAATCCAAAAACATGCAGAAAAGTCAACTTCCAAAGTAGTGTTGATTTCTTCCTCAACTCCATAGTACGCACTGATTAAATTGCAACTAGAAAGAAACAGGTGCTTGTCTAAATTATGACTACTAGAAAAATATATCTCAGCACTCTAAAGAAACAAGAGTGTGTGATTTTCACAGGGAAAGATGGAAGCAGAGGAAGCAGTAAGATAGGTATCCTGTTTGCCTGACAAGACAGACTGTCACAAGCCTTCCATTTGAATTGTGCTGCTGAAAAAAAAAAAACCAACAAGTAATGACAATGAGTCAAAACACACCAGAGAAAAAATAAAATATGATACCTATTGATTTTTCTTCTCTTGATCCATGTTCTGTCACTCTGTGTGGCAGAAAGTCCAAAATATACTTAATCTACAGTACTATGGGAATTTGCAACACAATAAAGATGATAAAGTGGCAAGGAAAGCTGGGTCACAAAAAAAGGGAATCCACAGTAAATGAAAAATCTCTTCTAACTGGCAAACATGTAAGATTTCACGTGAATAGAAAAACTAATAACCAATTTTACTAATGACAAGCTTCAATAATTACGGATTCCACAACACTTGTAATCTTGCTGGCTGCAATAACTGCCTACATACTCTCTATTATTTTCCACAAGAATAATAAAGAAATACCTCAGACAATACAACATCTGCATCTGCAGGCAAAGTTTCTTATGAAACAACCACTGAAGCCCTAGAAAGCTAGAACAAGCATAACAGGCAGGCTTTGATTTTATTCATAATAAATTAAACTGTTAAAAATAAGAGACTCGCATTATAAAGATTGGTTTTGCTGGAAAAGGATTGGTTTAAAAAAAGGACAGTGAGAGCTGGCATTGGGTGCAGGCAACAGATCATATTCAATCAATTTCTTTACCTGTTTCCACTGGGGTATAGGAGCTAGACGGCCCTGCTCTCGTCTGCTGGATGGTTGATTGTGAACGCGTTCTTGATAAGGCAGGACAGGCTGCTGCATGCAGGTTGCAGGGCAAGTGGGTTGGGAGCAAGGGGGAATGATACAACAGCAACAAAAATTTGAAGTAAGCCAAAGAAATGGGAGATACAATCAGACAGACAAACATTTAAGGAAAAAAAAAAAAAAAAAGAGGGTAGGGGAGAATTCATTTAGCAAGTCATATATGAAAAGGGAGAAGACATTTAAAAAAAAAAAAAAAAAAAGGAGGGGGAAATGCACATTTTTTGGACCTGCCCTTCGTCCCTTTGTTTTCATTTTTTCTTCAATTCAGCCTGGTTATTCAAGACAGCATGCAGTGGCTAAGGAAACATTTTACTGGTAAACAATAGGATAAATGTCACCATTTTGAGATTATTTGTGCTACTAACAGCGGTATGCAATGTAGCATACGTATACATAAATTCAACTTAAAGTAGTTAGATAAGATCCCATTCACAATCTGGCCACAGCAGCTCAGAGTTCGACACAAGCTATTAAGATGAAGTAACCATTAGAGCAAGAACTCTGGCACTTAAACCATACTGAGCCTTATACTGCTGACGCTGCACTGCTAGCAGTGTCTTGAAGTGACTCAACATAACTTCAGATATGACTACCTTGCCGTTGCAGTAGTTTAGATACTGTACTGAATAACCAGCAGTCATCAGAAAGCCTCATTTGAATTGATATAAATATTCTGATTGTGAAGAACCTCCCAGGTATTTACCTGCTATGCTTATGTACAGGTAGAAAACTTAATCACAGTTCACAAGCATAAACACAAAACCTGATAATGAAAATCTTCAAATTAGAAACTAAATTAGAATTCTTAAAGGTTAGAAATGGGATTTTCCTGGACAGCTTTTCCATCAGCAATAGCAGTTATAAAAAAAACCTAATTACTTGTAAGATATTTTTGAAAGAGATTATAAAACATACTGGCAGTAACAAGGAAGTGGACTTTCATTAGAAAGTTCACTATCTCATACTCCTAAATTTAATTTTTTTCTCTATGGAGTAACCTTCACTCCTCCCTAGGGGAGCCTTTGCAGTAGAAGGGCACCACTAGCATCCAGTCTTGAGGAATGCATGTTATTACTCACGATTTTCTATCATGATTTCAAAATACGAGGATTTATTGACCATCTCCTACCTGTCTTCGTAATGTTGAGGACTGCACCGGTGCATTCTCCTCAAACTTGGCCAGAAGCTGGGTTGCCATGGACTTGACTTTGTTCTGATTCCCAATGGCAGCATCAATTCTCCTCTCTGTCAGGGCACTCACCAATGTAGGTCTTTCTTCTCTGTAGCTTCGAGGAATGTCCTCCTATCAGTCAGTGAGATCAACATTTAACAAGTACATCCGAATCACCTTTTCCACTCTTCCTCTTTGCTGTACTAGGTTTCTAGGCTGTAGAAAACAAATCTGCCACTCTGCATTTAAAAGCTTGCATTTTAATTTTCTTTGGTATGCCATCAAAAGCTGTGATAAACTTTTCTCATTTTTCCAGCCTTACTTGATACATTTACATACCAAAGACACCAAACACCCTCATAAATCCACTGACATAAAGCAAATGGATATCATCACAACTTCACTGACAATTCCAAGCATTCAATTTTAGCTCATTTATACCTGTTCAGCTACAAGCACTTGATCTGAAGGACTACCTTGTGAAGCATACTGGATATGTATGCATTTTGCACTAACTGAGACTACAGATCAAATATGAATGAAACTTCCGATTCCTGAATGACTTTACTAAATGAAGTTTTATTCTTGGTGCACTCATCAAATCAAAGTAAACTGCAGTAAAAATAGAAAATGAAGGAAATGCACATTTCGTTTCTACTGTATTCTCATAAACATCAATAAAGTATTTTCCCTACAAATAGCACAAAGAATAACCTTTGAAGAAGAATTTTAATTTAGAAATTCTCAAGTAAGGCCTACCTGGTTATAGAAAACAAAAGGATCTAAATGAGAATGAAGAATGTACCGTATATATTTTTCTTCTTTACACCTTTCTCATTGTAATACTTACATCCTCAGATTGGCTGGTTTTCCTCCTCTTTCCTGCACCGTCCAATTCCTTTTCTTTTTTGTCCTGAAAATAGAGGAAGGAAAACAAGGATAAAGACTCTTGTATATTTCTAGCCTGAGGAAAATGTCATCAGTGCGCTTAAGCTTTGCAACACAACTAATTAATTCTCTAAGGTCATTCTCCATCTGTTTAAGGAAAGGGTTTGTTGTTGCTGCTTCTGTTTGTTTGCTTTTCCCTTTATTCTCCTTAGGGATTTCTAGCATTCATATTGGAAAGTCTACCTGATTGAAGCATATCCCCAAATTCCTCCAAAAAGCCAAGATTTTAAGACTGAAGTATATCACAAACTGAGAATGCACATTACCAATGTAATTCTGCAATTATAAAAGTCATGTATTGTCAAGAGCTGATGAACATCTGGTTTTTGGAAAATACATGGCAGACAGACAGACATATTCATTTCTGTCATGGTTACCTTTGGAGTGCGTTTCCGAGATATACTTTGTCCCAGTTTACTGAGAAAAGAGATTGGAGATTTGGTACTGGCAATTAGGGCGGCCTTTTCTTCTGCATTCAGATCCACACTATCTGTAAGGAGGAACAGGTCGGAGAAGGAATGCCAAGAAATTATTTCTGAAGTGCTGTTATTAAATACATAACATAATGCTTTCTTCATTTTGCCAAAATCAATTCTCCCTCTAGGTTTTGTAACGACCCAGAATATTGAGTTTGTTCAGTTTCATATTTGAAGAGCATCATCGTCATCAGTATTAATAAAATGAGTTCAGAGTTTTGGAAATAATTCCTAATCGATATCACACTATATTTTTTAAAGGCTATTAAACACATCTTTTTTTCACCAGAATTATATACTTGAATATCTTAGGAAATTATAAGATCATCAATAACAAAAAAAAAAAAAAAAAAACCAATCAACAAAACAAACAAACAAAAAAATTACTGCATTATTAAGACTTAGAGATGGACAATTTTTGCTTCTGTTAGGCAATTACATTCTTCAGTTATAATCTGTCTTTCATTCCTGCCTTGCATTGGCCTGGAGTTACTCTCACCATTCATGGATGGTAAATAAAAGCTATACACCTTGGCCAGAATTTGGAATTACCTACTAAAAAATTACTAACAAGGCATCTCACATTAATGAAGACTGATGAACCCCTAATAACAGCAAGAAAGCAGAGAAGTTGCCTAGTAGTGCTGAAGTGATTTTAAACTTACGAGGACATTAGTTTGAATTTATTAATTCCTTGTTTTCCTCCTGATATTGCTAACATGGTTAGCAGCAATAATGATACCAACAATAAGAAGGCAACTTTTTGTTACATAAAGTTAGTAACAAGTTATACGCTCACGTGGAAAAAGCATGAAAATAAGACATACTCATTCTGCAGCTGTCTTTAAAGATCATAGACCTGCACCAAATTCCTTACCACTAGAAGGGATGGTGTCTTTGAACATCTCATAGAACTGCGTGAGGTACATCACCATGGAGAGTTTATCTGGTTCCCCGACAGATGCCATTTCCTTTCCAGTCATAATGGGAGATATTCCAAACTCTTTTTCAGCAATGTCAAAGGCCAGCTGGTTATTCTTCTCCACATTGTGTTCATCCAAAGAATCAAAGTCTCTGCAACAGGCAGGAAGAGGGTGTGCAATGAATCAAGTGGAAACCAGTCTTCTGAAAGGATTCAGGTGTTGTTTTTTTTAAATCTCTCAAATTTACTTGCCAACAAATTATTTTGTATTATAGAGTTGATGAACTTTTCTCAAACTTTCTCTTTTTTTATTTGTTACTCTTTTAATAAAGAATATCTTTTTTCCCTTTTAAAGGACCTACTGGTACCTCTGCCAGCCAGTGCTCTCCCGTTCTAGAATGGGGTAGCTATTTTACCCACTACAGAGTTTACAGGCACAACCTCTCTGTTCAGACAGTGAGTCACTACTTCTATAAGGGGCAGCCTCAACTTTAAAAAGAGTTACTGTCAAAAAGGAGATTATGAAGGCCTGTGTAGAGACTTGTTCACTAGAAATTTTACTGAACCCATCAACTGTTCCTGACTAATTCCACAGAGAGAAGAGTTTTTCTGACAATAAAGCATTCTAGTCTGTACCAATTTGAACTTTCATTATGTCAAATCATCCATAAAGGAAAATGACAACATGTTTACCTTCATATTCATTAAGCTATTACAACCTTCCACTCCGCTGGTGAATCACTTGTACATTAGCTTCCATCAAGCTTAATTGAATTCATTTCAATCCATTTCTTTATTAGTCACAAACGCATTGCCTCAGTCTCAGTAGTACTAGTTTGAAATAAAACTACTGTTCTGCTCTCCCCAAATCTTCAAAAGAGCAAATTACTTACATTAAGTCTGGACGGTATCTGTGGATAATGGCACACAAAGCTAAGCCACTTTTCCATGACATCGTGAGATCTGTCACATTTACACCAGCATACCCATCTGTCTGCCTCTGGCACCAACTGAGCAATTTACTAGAGCGAGCTACAGACTCTGTAAGAAATCATGCTGTTAAGTAGAAATACACAAAATCTCTTTTCTGAATTCTAACTACATCATAAAAAATAGAAATCAACAAATAAAACTTTCATGCAATGGATAAGCTCCTTCTACAATGGGCAGCATGGGACACAACTAAACAGTAGTATTTTTTTAAAGACTATTGCATCTAATTTAGATGCAAGAAAGGATTTATCATTCACTAAAAAGTATCTACCAAAGTTATAACTTGACTTATAAGTCACCCTAAAAGAGCCCAAATAATTATTAAAAAAAAAAAAAAAAAAATCACAAAGGCTTGTTTTAAACACAACCTAAAGACTATAGAGCAGTACAATATTCTCTGAAGCCCAGATACAGTGTTTCTAATGGAGGAACTGCAAAAGTACTTTTGCAACTCTTTCTTTTCTATTGAAAGTTTTCCATTAGAAGTACTGACCTATTTTGACCTTGCCTTACTGCATGATCTGACAAGATTACTGCCCAAAGGGATATGGTTGCAGGCCAAAGAACATATCCAAAGACTACGTAGATTTTGAGCAGCGAAAAGAAGCTCAGTAGCAAAGCACTATTGAGGGAGTCCCCAAACACCATCTGGATAGAATAATGCAAGTAAAGTGATGTTTCACTTAATTAAGCTAGGAGATGAGATTAACTAAAGAAAAATATGACCATGAAAGACTGTAATAGACATACCTTCTGTTATTTTTATTAGAATTTTGGGTTTATGATTAGAGTGAACTCAGAATAGCCTTCTGCTCTATAGTAAGGATATTCTTATAGGATAAAAGACATGAAGAAAAATGCTTGCATAAGGAAATATGCTCTAAAATTTTAACAGCGTTATAAAGGAGGGAAATTAGGCAAATAAAAGTATATTTGCATGTTAATTGAAACTTGAATGACTAGAAAAAAATAATCACATTTTTGACAAAATAATTGCTTTATCTAAACCAAAAGAAGCTGGCTAAACAATACAGCACAGCCCTGTTACTCTACGTGCACTGCACTGAAGCGGCATCTGAATACCAAAAGGAATGGAGCAGTAACCAGACCTACCATTCCGAGTCAGCTTTGGCGTCCTGGAGTTCACAAAATTCTCTATTTCCAGGTGTATGTCTTTCAAATCTCCTGTATTATACAAGTGGCGTACCTAAAATGATACAGAAAATTACAAGTTACCAACACACTGCGTACCCAATGGATACAGAAAAGAGCAGGATGAGCAGCAGCTATCCCAAGGCAAAAGAACAAGTATTTCCATGTAACAGAAATCTCTAGCCCAAGAAGTCCCGAACAAGGAACAACTTGTCAGCACTGAACAGTCTAGCTGACTGATGCTGCTCAGTGGGTACAAGATTGCAATCATAAACTGGCACTAGAAAACGCAGGCAAAAATCAAAAATACAACTGAATTAAAAGCACACTTTTAAGACTTCAAAACTCTGAACAAAATAGGAATTTAGTAAAGAGGTCAACTCTGCATTTCACTGCTTCCAAGTTCTACCACCAGTCAGGTCATTATCCCTAAAATACTAGCACAGTTTCACATAAGAAAAGACAGTGCAGAATACAAACATTCAGAAGCATCACTTCTCTCCAGTTACCTGCTGTGGTCGCAAGAAGTTGACGTTGATATTGGGATACCGAGTGGCTGGATCAATGCTATAATGGCTGAAGTTTTTACTCACATTCTCAGGGGTGGTCTGAGGCAGTAGTCTATAAATGCTTTCCCTTGGAAAAAAAAGTATAATCTTTTTATTTTGTGTTCGTTGAGTTTTTTTTAATAGAAAAGATGCAACACCATTAATACTGCTAAATCAATTCTGGAGAGAAAAAACTTCAATAGCTAAGAATTCTTATATGTATATTTAAATTTGCAATATAATACAACTCCAAAAATCAGAAGGAAAGAAGAAAATAGTACACTGACCACAACTAAAGGGGTTCCCCAGTACAGGAAAACACTGACACTCTGAAAATGACTCAGAAAGAAGTCCTACCAAGGGGACTGGAGTACTCAGCCTGTGGGGAGAGGCCAAGGAAAGTGGATTTGGCCAGCGTGGAGGAAAGAAGGCTGAGGAGGGATCTTATTGCTCTCTGCAAATGTCTAATAATGTCTGGCAACATGAAACATGATTAACTTCACCATTTCTCAAAATTAAAAAAGCAAAATATTAAATATTTAGCATGGAGTTTAAAAATTTATGCTACAGCTCCTAATAGAAGTTGCAGTTGTTTAAAATAGGTTCTTACACATTGCTTAAACTCCATTTTTTAAACACTCAAGTTCTGATTCTAAGCAATGACCTTATGTCACCAGAACAAGTCTCACCAAAAGATGATAAAAACATCAAGAACATGATACTCCAAAGAAAAAAAAGACATTTTTTGGCTCACGTGAAACAAAGTGAATAATTATCTGAAATAAAAAACAGGTCATAGCTTCTTTGAGAGAAAATTGTAAAAGATATTTACAAGATAAGAAGGGAGAGAATTTTTTTTTTTATTTCTCTTTTTAAAGGCACCTTCATCTGGTTTGCTATTGCAATTCTTGTGACAGTTAGGCTCACTTTCTCTATGTTACCAGTAACACCAAGAAGAGACTCTACACCTAATCAGTTTTGTATCACTAGGACCAAGAACAGCTGCAACATTTATTTTTCTTCTATTAATATACTTCAGTTTATCAGCTGCTATGGACATTTTTCTTTAATTCAGTTATAGCTACAAGCACTCTCTAAAAACAGCAGGAATCTGTATCTCATATTTTATCTATGTATTTGTACTAGAAGGAACTAGAATAAATGACAAGATGTTGGAGGATTAGATTACAACTCAAAATGTAAGCATTTTTTTCTATTACCTCTCTGCAAGAACTTCCAAAGGACTTGCTCCGAGTGACCAACTTCGTACCATCCAAGCAGAGTCCATTGCAGCTAAAAATCCTCTCGCTATTCCAGTTCCCATTGGCCAAAATGGCTAATATTATAGTTTACAAAAAGGAGACGAGAAAGAAAAAGCATCAGTTAGGGAAAGCTTTAAATTAATATCAAGAATATAGTCAGGGAATAATCTGCTGCGAAATTTTAGCTCGGTAATTAGCTTAAAGCTCTACTCCCACTGGGCTCAAGGAAGCCAGACGCATCATAGCCAAACTCTCCTCTATTTCCAACAACAGTTCATTGTCTAGAGTGCCTTAAAAGCTACTTTTCAATACTGTACTTTTTAACCAACTATAAAATGCTAATTATTAGCAGGCTTAGAGTAGGTTCCCATACAGAGTGTAATTGCCTCAATAAGAAGCACATGGAACAGATATAATTTCAGAGACATTTCTGCCCATATTTTCTTAAGCAAGATTGTTTCCATACTAAACATTCTGTTTTCCCAGGACTCCTACTCTTCATACAGATCTCTTACTTTGTTACACAATAAACAGCAGCACATCTCATAATAACTGTCCTATAGGCAGTGCATATTTCAGTGATAGGTGCAATGGTTTGTACTTATGCTTCGATAAGTCTAAAAGACAAACCTCCAAGAGACTGTCCCCAACCAGTGCCACAAGTAACTGGTGGCCGTTCTGCTCTCGCACCAGCGCTGCATTCTCTGATGCATACATGCACGTGAAGTCAAACATTGCCACATCTGGCTGCCCATAGTGGTTGATGGCGAAGTCCAGTGACGGCAGCTGCTGATTAGTGGAAAAGTCAGCTGCTTCTCTGGCATAGTTTAGCAAAGCTTCCTGGTCCACGTTCTCCCGTGAGAGTAATAATTCCGTATCAGCATAATCCTGACAAAGAGAAATGAGTAAAAGTGAGCCAAATCCACAAGGTTGTATATATATAAAAGTGGGCATGAAATTATATGCAAATCCACTGATAAAGGTCTGCCCTTTCATTCTTACATTCCTAGCAATGTGTATAAGTTGGACAAAAAAATCTGTAAATACTACTGGCATTTCTGAGTGTGAAAAGGCAAAGAAACTTTTGAGCTCTTCACTTCACACAAAAGGAGCAAGACCTCAATCTTTTTGCATTCACTTACAGACAAACCACTTTTACATTTGCTTCTGTCAGAATTAGACTCTGGTACACTTTCTTTACTCTGTCTTTTCATTATATAAATGAAAAGCCCAAATAAGCCAACAAAAGTTATTTCTGCATACTCTTTCTTAGCATGCTCAAAACCCCCACATTGACAAGTTCAGATGGTGTAACATTCTTGTAACACTTCTAATGGCTGAAAACGCCTCAGAAGGGCATTAACTACAAATGTTTGTGTTCTAAAATATACCTGTATAATAACATAATGTGGTGCAAGAAGAGTGTTCTTTCAGTGTACTGAAAGCAAAATTTCCCCAAATCTTAAGATATAAAAGTTAATACCCACATGTCGTATTACGCCTTTATCCAGCAAGCTCTGTTTTTTGGCAGTCATGACAAAGTAGTGTGTATCATCCTTATAGTAGACGATGTTCTCTAAGTCAATACCTTGTGACAGAACAAAAGATAATGAAGGAACAAGCAACAAATCAGCTCTATTGAAAGAAAGTAAACTGAAACTATCTGGTTAGAAGATCTTAAGAGAGAATGTCAGGCAGCCTCCTTCCACTCATTGAAAGAGTTCAAAATCTGTATCTTCGACAAAACCAGAAACAGAGCATTTCTTTTGAAAAACATATTTATCATCACACTAAGTTTTGTATTCAGATGTGGGATGCAGGAAACAAAACTCAGGATTCAGGCTTCTCTTGTGAATGGCTCAGATTTCCTGAAAATCCTTAGGGAAAGAAGTTCTGAGCAAAAATGACACACATCTGAATGATACACATCTGCTTTGTACGGACGTACAGAACAGCTGTAAAAATGAGGGAAGTTAGATTTCAAAGAGAGACAGAAATGACTGTCTTCCTTGCACACAGCTTTTGTTTACTGACTAAATATTGTGGTACCTGAGTTAGAGAAGTTGTAATAATGAGGACAAATAGCTTTAACTGGAAATCTGACAATTGCCGACATACCGGTGGCTTCTCGTAGATCCTGGAAGAACTTCTGGTTGAATATAAAAGCCACACCACTGATCTCTTCTACTTTGGCTTCAGCTGTGGTGTTACGATTGATGAAGTTCGCTGTGATAGCAATCGCCAGTTTACCACGGAACTCTTTTCGGCGAAACCCTACAGGAAAGATAAAGGAGCAACAGTGAAAAACAGAGCATAGCGTCAGAGAAGGCTCAGCACACCACAGACCAGTGCCCTCAAAAATACAGGAGGTTGGACCTGATGGATTATGAACTACTCCACCGAAAAAGCAAAAATTGCTTCATCTGAGAAAATAAGTGTTCTTGTTTAGGAAAAAGGCTCCCCATTCTTTCTTATCTCTTTCCCTAAAACTGCAACTCGCATAACAAATAGTAAGAGAAAATTCTCTACTACACAGTTGTACATTCAATGCTTTCAGCTCCTACTCCCAAAATTGAGTTGCAACACTATGCAACTAAGGAAAAATTGTGGGAAAGACTTTTGTGCCAGTGGATAGGAAGAGGAAAAATGCACAGATTTCTACATGGACTTTTTATTTCCTAGTCAAACGTCTTGATTTTGATTGGGATTCTGAATGCCACTTTTGTTCGTATCTATTCTAATTTAAGAATTAGTTGTATTTTAAAGTGAATTATGGACACATCATTACCTTCTAAAGTGTTCCTTCTGCCATCCCCTCCAATGATCACTTCAAATTCATACTCTGATACTGGATGGGTTTTCGGATGGACCAATGCACGCCAACCTATTCCTGTCAATAAAGTCCAGATTAATGACAACGTAAAACAGTGCACATAGTAAAACAGACATATAAAAACACTTTCTGCTATCCATAAAACCTTTCTTACACAGTCAGTAAAGATATACCACAAGATAGCTATATTACTGACAGGGCTATTGCTGACTTTCATAAGCACTCTATGCATATCAAAGAATGCGCTACAGTAGACAGAGAGAGCCCAAGTAAACCCTCCCTGATTATCTTCCAGGAACACTAAAACCTTTATTAGGTGTTCAATTAACAAGATGCCAAAAGACAAGCAAGCCACCACTTCCCATAGCAATCAGACAAGAGGTTTCACAAAGATGCAAAAAGCATAACAAAGACCATTTGCTGGTATAAATATCCTCAGTAAACACAAATAAAGGAGTCATTTTAAAAAGGTATTTCTTAATTGTAATAAACAGGCTTAAATATGTTAGGAGACATTAGGAACTACTGTGTCTTGGATTATTTTTGCTAAGTACTTCAGGTGATTTTACTTGAAAGAAGTAAGCTTATAAAGAAGTCAAGCAAAAGTCCATTGAAGATAACTGCCATTAATGGAACATGAGAAAAGGAGGAGTCATAACATTAAGGAGCAAGAGTCTATGTATCTGACCATAACTTCCCCTTTCTCTACAACTCATTTCAACACTACTTGCTTTCATTTTCCTGATCCTCCGGAGGGTAAACAAGCCCTTGAAATTCCACATTGACATGGATCTCTATTCCCAAGATCAAGGCAACCTTCAAAAGGATAAGCTGGAGTTGACGGATACCTGAAAAAAAAAAAACAATGACAAAAAATTAGCAGAAAAAGGAAAGAGCACAAGTACACACACCTCCCTTTGACATTACTAATAAATTGATTTAAAGGCTAGTTGTTGCTTTCTTCTTCCCACTGTGTTCTCAGCACTTCACCCAGGCAGCACTGGTGGGTAATAACATGGCATAAGAAACTCCCATATAGCAGAAACTGCAGTCCTTCTCAAAGAAGGTAATTTCTTTTAATGCGTCACTCTCAAAATCAGCAACAAGGGAAACAACTAGAATGTGCACTGCAGGAGAGGAAGGGAAGAGAGCACAAGCAGGACTGTCTTTCTGTTACAGATGGTAACCAGCCATTTGATCACCTTGTAATACTGAGATGTACCTTAATGCTACCGCTATTGGGTTAGGGAGGGAATATTAAGTTACTCATCACCTCTTTCCACTTAAGTCAGTGTAGGTAACAGGTATGAAAACGACTGTGTGCAAATCTGAAGGAATAATACTAATTTTAAGGAGGAAACCTCATTGTCATATTTCAGATATTGAAATGAAGAAATACTCCACCTAGAAACTACATTTCAACTGTGCTGAGACACAAAAGAAAACAATATCAAGTATTGGAAGAATAAAAATAAAGGGAAAACAGAAGAGAACAAGTTGCAAGACTGAAGTGATAAGGGCCTTTCTGTTTCTACCAGTCATTTTTCCTCAAAAAAGAGCAGCTTTCACACTGAATAAGAAGTTAAATCTTATCTACTATGATTGTCCCAATTTATACTTCCATTTACGCCCTGAGGTGAACACAGACTGATGGGCACTAGCGTGCTTGGAAAGTTTTTTGGGGGAAAAAAATAAATTGAAAAATGGCAATTTTTGCCCTCAGAAAGCCGAAGATAAAAAAGATAACAGGTACACTAAAAGATATATATTACATGTTTGATCATGCCATGGCACAATCTATTTCTTTCGTATCATACCATGCTGACACAAGAGGAGTGACAGGTGCAGGATGCATTTTCATGAGATGCTCCATGCCTCAGCCACCTCACCCTTTTCAACAAGTGCTGCCATGACAAGCAGCAGCTGTACTTACTGATATGGTCTATGGATCCTGCACAGAATTTGCCATAAAACTTCTTGGCGCCAAGACCCCTCAGGTCATGTATGGTGAATGGCCACAAATGCAGAACATTATTGCGGGAAAAGGCATCCCTCTTTTCTATGACCACCACCTTGGCTCCCAGGAATGACAGGTCGATGGCTGTACGAAGGCCACAGGGTCCAGCCCCAATTATCAGACACTGCAAAAGAACCAAACACAAAGTAACTGTACGATTCAAAGAGGAAAAGGGTATTTTCAACCCTTCTTTTAAGGGATTAAGACCATAGCATAATGCTTTCCAAGCTATATAAGCACCTGGAAAGCAGCAATATTTCTGAAGGTTTCTCTCTCCAGTTCCAACCAGGTCTTTTCTGTTTTTAAGAAAAGGTGAAGTAGCCTTTTCTTCTCATCTCCCAAAGCCTGAGTTTGCCTTTTCCAGAAAATCTTCAGGGACGCTGGAAATTCCTCATCAACACTGAGCAGCACAGCAATGGTTCAGGCAGATAAATGCAAAGTTTTTACACACGTGATCATTTAGATTAGCAGAGACAGCACTCTGACTTGCACCCATGCTGATGTTTCTAGTATTGAAGCAAAGGAACCTCCAAGGTAAGTAAATACAATGTAAAACTGAATTTCGTGTAATTAGACCTTTTTTTTTTAATCAAAATACGTTTTCTTCACTTTAACCCTTTTCATATCAAAGGTATTTCATCTTCCTCCATCTTTCTCCACTCTATTCACAAACACTTTTAGAGGCTAATAAATGACTTGAGAAACACTTGCATATCCAGTGCTGGAAGTACTTCTGAAGAAACAAAGGAACACAGCAAGATATTTTATTTCAAGAATAAAAATCCAAGATACGCAACTGCCCACAGAAACTGAAGTCCACAGAGAAAGCTGGCATGTATGTGTGTATTCACATTAATACAGTGCATAGTCCATTTTGTCATATCAATTTTGTACTGGTTTTCTATTGATTATGAACCAGACACACTGGATAAAGACTCGCCAACATGGTGACTGTTTCTGCCACGTGAGTATTTTCCATATCCCTAAGTACCCTTACAGCTGGAAAACAAAGCTCCTTTAGAAATTCTTAAGTATGCTAAAACTTCATCAGAACCTACCCTTCTAATTACACAGCCTACTCCAAAACAAAGCTCTTTGTTCTCTGATAGTCCCCATAAGCCAGTTTGTACAGTTCCCCACATTTTAAACTTGCTGTTCACTGGGTTACAGATTCTTCAAATGATGTGAAAATGCAAATACAAAGCCTGAATGATAAATAAAAGAGTACAGTTTGCAACAGTAAAGAGTTAACAACTAACATGCAAATGCTAAACAAGGCTACTGTATAAGATAACAACGCATATAAATCTGAGGGCAGAGATACAAGTCCAGAGAAAAGGGAAGGGAAGGATAACAGCAGTTTATTTAGTAACTTTGGGAACCGGAAGGCATAAATACAAAATGCTAGCCCGACCACTGAGGTATTAGCAGTGCAATTAAAAACCAGACTTACATTCTGAACAGGTGTCCAAGTTGTAATTTGTTAAAAAAGCGATATTCAATTAGGAACTACTGCATTCTTCCAATTCAATATTGTTTTCTTTGTGGTTAAGTGTAACTCTCAAACACCACTTAGTCTTTCATTTTTTAACCTTGTAAGAGAATGAGCCGAGTGTGTCCTATTTAAATAGGTAATTTATCTAGAGCTTTACATGTTCTGGATCTAAAATACACAGCGAAGCAATTCACGACAAAGGTTGCCACCTTTTTTTTACCTCTACAAAAATATTAAGCGGTGTTGTTATAAAACACAGCAAGCTTTCAGCACAATTAAAAACAGAAGAAAAGACTCTGTCCCCTTTTTTATCCCTACTGACTCTTCCAGTTTCAGATCTCCTGTAGAAACCTAAGTTGTGATATCTGCATGGGCGGCGATAAGCATGAAACCTTAATCATAGCCAAGTAACTGCCGTCCCTTCTTCCTCTGCTCCACAGTGACTCCAAGCAACTGCTACAGCTCTGTGCACTGAAGCAATCTCACTCCTCACTATCATTTCTTGCTCAAGATCTAAGTTATATTCAGTTTCCAATAACAACACCACGGTAATGTAACATTAAATGCAAACAAATCCTGAGTTCTCCAGCTCTCAAGTGGAGAATTACCTTTCTGTTCTCTTTTGAGCTGCTCAAGCTAAATAAATAAAGGGGCTAATATAAATTTTTGGTAACTATTTACATTTGGACAAATCATCACATCCAAGTCTTGCTTTCATGAACTATACCCCCAACCATCTGAATTCCAGTTAACCTGGACACTGGCCATATACACCAAGTATCAGTTCTGGCTGGGACACTTCAGCCCAGCACGATTTTAAATAGAAAAGCAGCAATTAAACTCTAGAGAATGAGATCTTCATATGATCAAGTACAGAAGCTGAGTTTACTAAAGAAATGACTGACAGCAGTTTTAAGAATATGGGTAGAATTTTGATCTTTGTTTTGAATTGTCATTTCCACACACCCACCTTAATTCCTGTGTTGTATTTTTTGTTTAAATCAGTGTTTGCAAATTACATTAAAAATTAGGAATATAAAACTAAGTGAGATGGGAAACATCAAATCAGAAATGAATCAGTTCTCAAAAGGCCTCCACTTTGAATAGTTGTGTTTACCTCCTACAAATTACAAATTTAATGGCAGAAGCTGTTAGGGTCAGAAGCAAGTAGTAAACAGAAATATATGAAAAATATGAAAAATACACTTGAATATAATTTCTTTACATAAAAAAGCAACAAGGTTTGTAATTAGTGGCATACAAAAATCATTTATCATAACAAGTACATATTCAAATATATATACTAACAAAAAATAATTTTTGAAACAATTTCCTTTCCCCTCAGCTGGCTGATTTCAATACTCAAAATGACTCGAATCTCAAATCAACAGTACTGCATGTTCCTGGCTTGGGACATGGGTAAGCATGGAATTTATTTAACTTATCCACCCGTTTTAGTTGCATTTCGAAAGAGCATCTCACCAGCAGCTTCTCAGTAACACTGGCAAATAAGATTTCCCTCCTCTTCCTCTTTCCCTTCACTCTCCCTCCTTGCCACAGATAAGAGAGCTGATATGCAGTATGCCCATTCCTTTCTTTGGTAGGACCCAGTTCAGTGTGAGTTCCATTGACCAACACTACTTATCTGCCTTACTGTTCTCATAGTTGATCTGCATCCCACCTGTTATCTATAACTGGATGTAACAATTATGAACATTTTGAGGAAAGCATTATTTTCACAAGACACAGAACAATGCACCTTGACACTGAGTAATTATTACAGGTGTTACTGTGGTAATTACTTATAAATGTCACTATCTATACAAAAAATAGCAAGTAGGAAGTGAAACAATCAACGAAATAACATAACTTTCTAATATCTAGCTGAAAGTAAACCTGAGTCCATATATCTGAAATGACCCATTATATCCCAAATAGGATATATTTCCCTCTCAGTTCTCTTCTATAGGAACTAGTATTTAATTCTTCGTATTACTTCTTTCTGCAGAAAGGTTAATGTACAAGGGAAAGAGAAGCACCTATTGTCCTAAATGAAGGAGGGGAGAATCTTGTTCTAATTTTCTCATAGTCCATACTATCTTTCTTTATTTTTTGAAAGGAAAACTATATGATTACTTGAGAAAATAACTTATTCCATAAACATTTTGATGAATGACATAAATGTATTTCAGTAACAGAATAAATAAAAAAATAAAGCTCATACTGCAGAGTTCAACCAGGGCATACGTAGCACAGATATCAGTTCACAACAAGACACATAAAACACAATGGAGAAGGTGAGTGAAAGCAGTAAATACCATACATATCAATCCTTTTAAATGAACTGGTATGAGTTTCCACAGCATTTGTATTTTAGTGGGTTGATTTTTATTTTTATTTTTTTTTATTCCCACAAATAAGTCTCTTACATAGGATCACTTTCCTTACCTTCGTGTTGGCGCATGCTTTCCCCTTCTTATAGTCCTTATGGCTGCCCCTTTTATCCAATTTGGCCCACAAGGCTTTGGCTTTCCAGTAATTTAGCTTGGACTTGAGTTTGTGATAGAAAGAACGGTAGTCCTTGGGCTTTAGTTCTAAGTAGTCACAGAGCTCCTGGAAAGCCTTGAGAGTCCCTTTGCACGTTGAAGCCTGGACAAATCTGTCGAAGAGAACGTGAGCCTGGTTCACCTTCTCGTTCTTACTCTCCTCCATGCTTCACGCTCGGCAGCTGCCCTGCAGGGCAGCTGTTCTCTTCCAGTCTGCCAGATTTCCCAGTGTTGCTCTGCTGAGCCACTTTCACCTCTGGCTTACAAGCATTATTAACCTATAAAATAAAAAGAAAAAAAATGTAACTGAGTTTGCTCTTTTTTTTTTTTAATTTCCAAAATTATCTCTGTGTATGAGCTGAGGTCCAGATTCTCAGTAACGAGTATAGCAAGCATCAGTCCTAAATAAGTTAACTAAGCTATACCCCAGGCAGTCCTGCCGAGCTGACTGAAGCACAGCCTCTCTTCAGACACTGGGACACGTCTTTTCTATCAGAGCACAAAATACTTTAACCGAGCCATACAACCTGTGAGTTTGAAGGCCTGCCTCTGTGCCCTGCCATAACAAAAACGATGATGGTACTGCAGTGCTAGAATGAGGTTAAACCTTAGAGCAATCAAATGCTTAAGATGTCAAGACTGGAAAAAAATGCCGGCCTGTGCTGCATCAAGCAGTATAAATATCTCTCCACCTAGAGCCCATGAGGACATTTCCTGTATCAGTAAGCAAGTAGCCCAGGAGAGAAATGGGGCTGTAGTACTATCCGTGTGGGGTTCTCAGGCTCCTTCCTCTGTGGTTTTCAACACTGTTTGATATGCAGATCCCCACATTTCAGGTGGTAGCTGGGATCCCTGGCAGATGAAATACGCTGACGAGAAGTTTGCTACTCTTAGTTGCTTTCCTGGGATCCCACAGAAGTACAGAATTGTTTAGAAGACAAACAACAATTTTCTTTAAAGAAAAGCTATTCCACTTTATATATATAATAAATCTTTCTTTCTTTTATACACATACACATATGAACGCGTACATACAAACAAGGTATAAACAATTACTCTAAGAAAGAATATCTGTTTATCTTCAGGTAGGACGGTAGCATGGGAACATATGCTGGAACTGTGGAAAGGAAAACAGTTTTGAGGTACGTTTTCCTTTGTTTTTTTAGCAAAGGGCATTAAGGTAAAAAAGGAAGTATGTAGACTCGGATAAAAGCTTTTAGATTCTCACCAGCTCTTTTCCCGCTTCCAGCAGACAGGAAGCCAAGGCAAACATTACAGCTCATGTCTCTCTTCCCCTCCGCCAGGACAGCCCTACAGCAGTTTATGTGGGCACTCCTGCTTCCCAGCCAATTGCTGGGAAGCCAATTGCATCTATTGCTTACATTTACAAATAGCAAAAGAGACCCAGAAACCCTTACATACATCCCTAAATTGTTTGGTATTAGAAATAAAATTCAAAGTTCCTGCAGAAGCCACAGCATAACGACAAGTCATACCACTCAGTGTATTTCTGACTTTATTAGGACGGCTGCCTTAGAGGACTCAGCACAGACGAGGATGTTTTCCTACATAGCAGATGGACATTGATGCTGTCCAAGCAGTACTGCTCACTAAGCAGTACGGAATTAACTTCTTTCCTTACTTTTAATCTTAACTTCACTACCAAGCATGCTTCAGGCTTGCACCTAAGGGGGACCACCATGCTTTGGTACTTTAAGCCTGCACCTCCTGTTCCCAAGAATGCTATAAAGAGCCCTAAAAAATCTCCTCTTATGTTGAAGCAGCAATTTCAGTGCATCGGATAATGGAGAGGAAATAAAATACTTACAGTCTAAATCCATACACCACATTTACCAGCACAGTCCTTCAAGTATTCTGCTCATTTCCCCCACCCCTGACACTCTTACCACCCAAAACCTCTACAGCAGCACTTCAGATGACTGATACAGCACTTCTTAAGAATAACCCTCAGAAACTGCACAGCCTAAATGCAGCTCAGTGCCAATTTAAGCCGGTTGGTCCACAGACCATTACTGATACACCCAGATGCAAGGACAGCCTGAGTCTCATTTCCTGCTCTTCCTCCTGTTGTGTTGTATTGAATCCTGTAGTATTTTCAAAAAAGGAGCGAAGTGACACTGATTCTGCACTGTGCAGAGAGATCTGTGAATTAAAACCCAGCCTTCTGTCACCACAGGAACTCAGTGCTTTGTGTTCAAGGCTGGCCAAGTCAGGAGAGACCTGCAAAAGCAGGTCACATTGTGAAGCACAACCAGAGCAGCACATTAATTTTGCTGTTCTGCTTACATCCCATCTCACACTGGCTGTTAGGTAAGTTATGCCCACGGGTCAAATACAGAGGCTTCAGTCACTGTAATTAGTCACTCCTCAAAACTCTGCATTCCTGATGTATACACCCAAAGCCCTCAGAACCTGTGAGCAACATGTCAGAGAGCATGGAAATTACAGGAGGCAAAGCAAGGGCAGGCAGGAATTATTTGCCACGTTTCCAGGGTATTTGTGTGCCTTGCTGGCCCTGCTGCAAGTCTGCAGCATCCTGCATGTTTTGTCTCGAGGCAGCTGATTGCTGACTCAGAAGCTCTGCAAATCCCTTGGCTGAAGCGCTGGGAAAGAAAGACAAAGTCTGTGAAAAAATGCATGCAAAAGCAGCGTTCATGTTGCTATTTACAATAATAGCAAGGGGTTGTTACTGACTCATGGCTGAAAGTACGCTCAGGATCTCTGCTCCTGAGCAGGATAAAAGAACCCAATGAAGAACAGAAACAAAGGATGAATAATTCCAGGTGGTGCTTCCTTCCCCTTCCTGCAGTCACCACAGGCACATGAATATTTTACCAAACACATGCATGATAAAGAAAGATGCCTGCAAAACTCACCCCAACTTGTATCAAATGGAAGAAATAGGGAAGGATTTTGCAAGTGATGCACGCTGCGATTTTGGTTATACAAATTCAAATTCCTGCAGTGCTGCAAATCCTATATCCCGAATACATACCTCCTGTACAGGAATCATCCTCCCACATTTTCAATCCGGATTTCGTTAAAAGTGCTCACTTAACTAATGTTTTGGGCCTGGAAAAGTTTAATATTTTGGTATGGGAATGTATTTTCCAGCATTCTTCTACTTTTTTTTTTCCAGCAGTAACTATTGACTTAATTCCATCTAAACTCACAGATTGTTCTTTCTGGCTCAAAACAGCATTTTGAGCAAATAAAACATTCGCCACTTCTGATGGAGAGATCTTTTGAGCGCCATGCCACTATTTTTCTACATTTTGATTATTTCACAGCTAGGCAAACAGTGCAGATGCACAAACCTCTGAGGGGCTAGTGATCAATAAACTACAGTATTGTATGAAATCTAAATGACTGATAGCTCCAAGAGCCCCAATTTCCATTGATTTCATCCTTTCCATAGTATTTCCAATTGCCCAGCAACATCCCCTGCCCCTGTCTCCCCTCTGTGGCCCCTTACCTTCTGCCTAAGACTCAGTAAAGTGCTCTGGAAACTCTGAGATTAGTGTAGTACCACAGCCAGTACACACTTGCAACTTGGCTAGCAAAAGCCTAAGAACAGATTACTGCTAAGCTATGCTGCAGACAGTGGGGACACCTATTTTTGTCTCTCTCTCCCCTACCCAGCCACCAGTTTTCTTGTAGGAAATGAATTACCTTCAAGACTTTTATTCCCTGTCAAATCTGGATGAAATGGTTCAGAAGTTATTAAGGATGAACTGAAAAGCAGATGGACAAATGACTGAATCCTGTAAGCCTCCCCTCTGTAGGAAACCACACTAACAAAAGTCTTTATTTCAGCAAATGAAGGAGCCCTGCTTTCGTTTCCAGGATTTGATTTATTTATACTTTTGGCTAAAACTGAAGAAATGGTCTTTGCTACAGTGTGCTGATCACATTGTAAGTGATCCCAAATAACAAGAAGTGCAGGCTTAGGTTGGCTGTAAGGGCTGGGGAACAGATGGCAAAAAGAGGACAACTTTGACAAGAAAAGATAAAAAGCATTGGCAATTATTTTAGCTCCGTATCATGCAGACAAGAAATGGGAAAGCAGGAGGACAAAAGGGTGGGGCTGCCATTGTGTGCAGCTTCCCTTTTAGACCAGATGGAAAAAAGAAATGTCAGTACCACACACAGTCAAGTTTGAAGACGGTATTTAGATCTGCTCTCACTCATAACACTCAAGTAAATACAGCGGACAAGGAATGTTTGCTGTTTATGCACCCATCAAAACCAGGTTTGAGGAGCTTCTGCACACCATGTGGGGATGAATCCCATCTTTCTGCTTTCTAACTCCGCCAAGCTAGAGCAAAAGTGGGAGAAAGAGGGACCAGATGTGAACTTGTTGCTAACACAAGAATCCATTCCTCATAAGACAATCAAAGTACATATACAAACAGGTCACGGATTGTCACAGAGAAAGCTCAACTCAGTAATAATTTGAAAAGAAATTCAAGTTATATCAAAGAACATGGAAACAAACACAGAGGCATCTACAGATATTTGGTTCCCAAATTGACATCAATGTACTGAATAAAAATACGTAGATTGTTCATTCTTAATCCTTTCTTAAGTGCCATAAAGTGTTTACTGAGACATCAGAACTACAAAATAAGATCTTTTATCTACATAAATTCAACGAATGTACTACTCTGCTGCTCTGTCATACACTGCTCTTTGATCAAATCAGGGTCCCTATAGGAAGTGAACATCAGCATCCAAAAATGAGGCCAAATAACAGATCAGATGTCGTCTTTTCTTCCTTTGATAAAAAATAATGCCCCAGAATGTTTCACTTGGGATTTTCTTCCGGTGTTTGGGGAAAAGCTGCTTATCTTAAGCATTGGAAGTGTTATGTATTTGACCATTTTAGGCAGTTTCCTTGAATTATAAAGCAAAAACTCCACAGACAATAAAAGAAGAAAGAAAAAAGCATGATACCATAGAATAGGAAGAGGTAACTGCCCCTTTATTACATGGTAAAGGAATGATAGGCCATCTGGATGGCTGTCATGCTGTACAACAGACCTCAAGAATGACTAGCTTAGAGTTCCTGAATATACCCATGACACAGCCACATACCAGGGAGACCCCTCATAGCACAAGTCTTCACATGGGGCCAACAGTAACCAATGCAGTATTCCTTCTCATCTAGAACCAACTTGTTAACTGCATGCTTGAGAAGCTGAGGACATCCAAGGCGTACCTTGGAACAGCACCATTCTGTAAAGAACTGCGTTGC